GAGCTCCTCAGCAAAGTATACTGTAATGTTGGATTTTTCCTTCCTCTTCTTTTTAGAAATGATCTACTGTTTGTTTTAGTTGAAACTTTCCAGAAAAAAAAAAACAAAAACAAAAACAAACAAACAAAAAAGCTTGGCTCAGATCCTGTTACATGAAATTTGATTCTGAACACTTACTTTTTTAAATTCACAAGCAACAAGAGTCTTAAAATGACGGTGTCATAATTACAAGCATTAGTCTGTCTTAGGACTCCATGACCATAAAGCTTCAGAATGCTTAAACACCATGACATTGAACTTTTCTTCAAATGAACATACCAACAGAAAGGTTCTATAGAACTCTCTTCTGTTGTAAATTTATTGGCCTTCTAAATCAATCTTACTCCAACTTGTCCTCATAAATACTGTCTTTTCCTTTAGTTTTGCCCTGAGGTCAACAGCTCCATGCATCTTTTTGGATTGCAACATACTCTATGCTATCCACTCTGGGTCCCTGGGATGTTAAAGGCATATCTAGAATCTAGTCCTTATTTTAATCAGGAGTTTGCCAGTTTCTGACAGTACTTCAAGCTCCATAATAATTAGTTATCTTGCTCTGTCTGCTCTGCTTCCCAATCAAGAAGCTTTCTCAATGCACAGTAAGGGTGTTCTGAAATGTTCACTCAGGAAGGCAGAATTTTGCATCCCTCCAGAGAGGGACAATTTTCTCATTTCTTCAAAAAAATACAAAAGCTGTACTATCCTATCCATCACAGCTTGCATAAAAAAAATGTTAACACAAGTTACTAGACCTTCAGCTATTTTCTTGTATTTCCTTGGTATGGTATCAGGCTAAATGGAATGCCCTGAGAATGAGAGGGGTGAGCGCTGTGTGGTTGCACAACTGCTGCATTTTGTGACAATGGTCATATATACCACAAGCCTGGGTTTGTGGTAAATCTTAATCAGAACATTGTTCCTTTCAAGCAACCAGTGTTCCTTTTATAGTATGGTGAATACAACAGTGTGGAAATGGAGAGGAAAAATAGCACTTCACAATTAAATTGAATTTGCCCTGTAGTTTTTAAAACAATGTTTTTCTGATGTGGTTTTATTGAGAACAGCAGAAGCTGCATGTTTGTACAAACTCCATTTTGATTACATGCCAGGCATTGCTTATATTGGCGAGCTTCATGCCAGCTTATCTGAGTTCAGAGAAACAGTTCTATTTTGGGGGCTTTAAAGTGCAAGATCACAAAAGGAAAAAAATAGTATATGAAGTGAAAAGTACTCTAGATGTGTTCATATCCCATAATTGTTAATCTGAGAAATAACAACATCACGTAATCAGAGCTGTGTTTCTTTTCTTTCCCCCAACATTAATTGTTAAAAAAAACAAACAAACAAAAAAAACTTTTCCAGGAAATAAAATCTTCACAGATTTGTTTCATTGAAACAATAAGTATATCAAAATGTATGGTTCTGATTTTTCTTTCTGTTATTTTAGAGATAGAAAACCAAACCAAACCAGAAAATTAAAACATCTGATTCCAAAATAATTGAAATAAATTTAAGGCTTCATTGGAATGCTCTGTAAAGTTAAATCAATTAAAATGACAAAAAATACCTCCCCCAAACAAACAAAAATAAAACAACTCCATCAAAATTCAGGTTACTGTGAAATATTTTGCTTTCCATGAGTCAATTTTTTGAATGGAAAAAAATCTGGAAATTGGGGGGAAAACAAAACAAAGTGAAAGTGGTTTAACTGATATTACTTGAGTGTGGAAAAAACTCATGTGATTAAATTCAGTTTAGAGTCATAGCTACTCCTGATGAAGGAAATTCAGATCCTGGGTCTTAAATAGTTGTAAGTCTGATGGGAGAAGGTCTGATGTCAAGTCTGATGTCCTTCCTAAAGGACATCACCTTTCCAAGGATGTGTGGAAATATTCTGAATTTCCTCAGCAGGGCCTAACAATATGTTTTTTCTATGGCCCAGACACAATAAAATGTTGCCTTTTTTCCTGTTTTTTTTTTTTTTTTTTTTTTTCAAAATAGCCTGTCAAAAGACACCGTAAATTCCATCTGCCTGTTGCTGTTTTGCCTTTTTTTTTTTTTTTTGGTGCAGGTTCTAGTCTGAAAATTTTCAATAAAATTAATAAACCTAATGAACAGAGCAGATCACAATGCTTCAAGGCATTAGATTATTCTAGGTTCTGTAGAAAAAAGTGGAAAAGTAGGAGCTGATTTCCTTACACTGTAAGGGTCAATGCAAATATTGGGAGGTAGAGGAAGAAGAGTGAATTTTCATATGTTTCTAATCATTGTTAATTGGCTATGTTCTGTAAAATAAAAATACTACTTGTAAGGCTGAAAAAAGCATGTATGGACCATAAAGCTATACATACAAACAGTGATTTTTCAGCTATCATGATCAAATTCCAAATCATACATTTCTGCAAATAGTCACAGTAACTATGATGGGATTAAAAAAAAAGTTTTATTTTTATTCATCAATTGATTTAGCTCACATAAGCAATACTGAATTGAAAGTATTTGTTGATATAGCATTCCAAATTGTTGCTCGGTTTGAGAGATTCACAGACTATCCTCCTAACAAAAGCCACCACATTTGTGCTGGAAAAATGATTATTTGTGTGGATTCTACTACAGCAGTTTATATCCGAAAAAGAGATGCCCAGGAGCAACCGTCCATGGGTTATCCAAATGACTCTGCCATTGCTGTTTTAACAGTGTTCTGGAGTTGTCGGTATAGGAATGGAGTGCTTCATTCTGCCTGCTCATCCAACCCTCGATGCTTTTTTAATCTAGCATGAAGTTCTGCTGTCTCAAGAAAAACAGAAATGAACAATGTATGTTTTTGGTTAGGAAGGTGAAGATGCGATTCACTGCACAACTTCTATTATTATTATTAATTATTATTATTATTCAGAACATTTTTGGCTTGGGAAAAGCTGTTGGATATTTTTAAAGAGCTATTTAAGTTAAACTCTGAGTGAATTGAACATTGGAAGACTTAACTGTAGGCCATTTTACCTGCAAAATGTATTGTTCCTCCTTATCCCACACTCATTGCTGTACTGTCTTTGACAGTTTTCAAATATTTCTTAAACATGCTATACAAAGGTTAAAGCAAAGCACTTCCTTGGCCCCAGAGCCAAGTAAACATTTTTCTTCACTTCTCTTCTCTTAATAATATATATTGTCTGAAAAACATTTTGTCTGCTGTGCAGGGAGCATGGAGCTGGCAACACCTGACATATAACACTATTTCACGCACTATTTTTTTAAGACTAAATTTAATTTTAGTTTATGAATTAAAATTCAAATTGTACTGAAAGTATAAAGAGATCCAATTACCCTGTATTATATGTTATATACCCTTTATTATATATTATATACTTAAATATGGGATTTGGCATTTGGGGGATTTATATATATATCATTCATTATATTTATTATTATATATTTATTATTTTAAATATTTGTATATATTGTTATATATACTATATATTATTTTATATAATATATATTGCATACTTAAATATGGGATCTGGTGGATTTGATCTTTTTCTATACTATGAGGCTATTGGGAAAGGGATTCAGCAGAACAAAAAGAGCTAGTTTTACTGAGACATTAGAAAACAGTATTCTCCCTTCCTGGTATTCAGAAAATAAAATTGAATGTTTGTATTTTTCTCTAAAACACTGGGTTTTTATTAGGTGCTCTTTATCACGGGTTTCTCACTAAACATTAAGTGTATTTCATTAGCGTAATTCGAGCTGCTGCTAATAATGACTTTTCCATGTACTTCAGGAAAAAGAAGGTTTGTTTGGTGCCTTTTTGCCACTTATAGTATGACAGATGCATCTTTCATACATCACATTTTGGGTAAAGCCAACAAAAATTATTTTTTTTTTTTCTGAGTTAATCAGTATGTGAAGGTTAGTTAATTTCTTTCTTTTTTTTTTCAGTAAAAGAATAAAAAATCCATATTTTTATACCACTCTTACAGTACTGCTTTTAGAAGCAGCTGATGAGCCTCTTCAAGCTGACAGTTTGAACTGTCAAGAGATTTTTGAGTTTTCCAATTTCTTAGTCTTCATCAGTTTGTGTCATGAGGATGATTTATCATGGACTTTAATTTGCCTAATATAGATCTCTTTTACCATTACAAATTCATGTGATAGCACTTGTAATAACAGCAGAAATTGATACTTTTAGTCATGCATATGATGAAGACCTGAGATAGGAAAAAACAAACAAAAAGGCCAACAAACACTAATCAATTTTCTTGATACTAAACATTTAAATATAAGCTGGAAATGGCCCAGCTTATACCTCTTTAACAAAGTTACCTTTGTTGTGCTGAAATTACTAAAGGGAATGAAACACAATAGAATGGTTGTTTTGACCAGAGAATATTTATTATTTGGTGGCCAGCCTTGGCAATATGCAGTAAGTTGATCCTTGAAACATTGCATGTATTTGGTGTTTTCTGGAGAATGCATGCTGTGTTCAAACTACTCTTTTCTGGATAGCATTGAACTAATCACAGATTTATTAGAAAGTTACAAGATAAAAAAATGACCAAAGCTTTAAAAATGTTCTTTCTCATTTAATATCAATAGAGCATGACAGCATGTGGAAGAAGATCCAAAATATTTGTATTGCTACTACTTCCAGGAATGTTCCTGTGCTTAAACTGATGTAAAAGTAAATGAGTCTAAATTTTAGAGAGAGGATGATAAATACCCTTAACACTTGTTTTCATATGAATTTTCATAAAAATGTTTCCTCTTAAGAACAGAAGAAAATCAGAATTTCACAATGAAACAAGCATTAACAGCTACACTCATATCTTTAGGAGCTGGAAATAGAGCATGAGTGAGAGATTTGTGGGTAGTTTCAGACCGACTGAAAAAGTATCCTGGTGCCAGTATTAGCACTGCATTTTGGGTTCTGTTTACAGAATTCGTTATCTTTTTCTTCCCAGGCTTTGGAAGACCAAGTATGGAACCTGCTGCATGAGGCAGACAAGGCTGCAGATGAGAACAAAGACAAGAGTCAGGTGTATGATGCCATGGCAGAGACACTCGGAGATGCATGGGATGCTCTCATCATTATGTTAGAGAAGCGACAGGCACTTCTGGAACTTACTTCAGTGTTCTTTGAAAATGCTCTGGAGGTTTGTTTTTAAATCAAATGTCTCTTAACTGGAAGCATTTCATGTCTTACAGAAACTCTTTCCATTGTATTTTTACTCTGTTATACATGTTAATGTTAATTATACATGTTAATACATGTTAATGAACAATGTTATGCATGTTAATGTTTTATGTTACATTAACATGTTACATGTTAACATGTTAACGGTTTATTGCATTCCTAAGGGTTGAAGTGATCAAGAGATTATTATTTTCTTAATGTATCCTTTCTTTTCCTCCTACTCTGTAGTTCAGGATGAAATGGAACAAAAATTAAAAAAAAAAAAAAAAGATCTTAGTCATGATTTCTCCAAGATTTGTACTTGATAGAAAAGTAACAGTGAAAAATGGAACTGGAGCAAAACCTAAAATGCATAATTCGGTGAATGTGGACATTCTCCAGAGTTTGTTTCATTCATTGTGATTCAAATTATTTGGCACTGGAAGAGCTGAATTCTCAGATGTCTTCACTAATGATTATTGATGATTGGCCACAGAAGGTTTTACACTATAATATACATACAGTTATTGTAATTATGGTTGCAAACAGTAGTCTAACTTGCCAGTCCTTTACTCAAGACTTCCATGTCCTTTGCTCAAGACTTCCATTTGCATAAATACACAAAAAGGTATTTGTGTGAGTCCAGAAGACAGATTTTAGAATGTTGTTCTTTCCCCTGCTAATTAATTTCTGTGTCTCTCACCCTTGTCAAAGTGGTGATAATTTCTGTAGCTCCCTGCCTTCAATTTTCCTATCATCTCTGGAACTTATAATAATTGTTTAATAATTTAACTTGATAAATTTCCTTCTACAATGGCTAAGGTTTACATATAAATTACCAAAGCAACCATTCAAATGCTAACTGTCCCAAGAGCTCCAAATGAAGGATCTGTAAGATCAACAGACTACTACTAATTGTTGTGTCCTGACCGTGTGTATTATATGAAGAAATGAGTACAAAGTTGGTAAATAAATTCTGATATGATTCTATCATATTGATATGATTCTGATCATATTCCGTATGATAAATTCTGTACCACAAAATGTTGACCTAGTGCAAATTAAATCCTTTAAGGGGTAGTTGAATTTTTCAAGCAACAGGTTTATATCATTAAAGCACAGGGCAGCAGCTGAATCGTAGCACAAATCATATCTGTTATGTACAGATGGAAATTAAAAAACAAACAACAAAACACAATATTTATTTAAATAGGAATAACTGAAAATTCTTAGGGAAAGGCTTTTCTTTATATGACAACCAGTGATTATGGAAATCTTTGTTTTATTGTGATAGAACACAAACATTACCTCAAGAATTCTCTTTAACGAAAATCAGAAATCAAATCCCAAATGTTGATAAATAATACATTTCTTTTAGAGCAAAAGGGAAGGAAATCTGGAAAAATAGAAAAGGGAGAATAAGCAGACAGGTTTTCATCTTCCTTAATTTCATCATAGGTTTCAACATCTTTTATTACAGTGAAATGCAAATATGAACTCTATTGGTTTCTTCATTCTTGAAATGAAGCAATAGAATTATAAAGGTTAACTAAGATACATTATATGTGCCTAGGCTCTGAGGTACTCATACTTGGAGTTGTGCCTACACACTTTGAGTTGTGCCTACAAAGGTGCAAGCTGAAGAATTTCAATCCTATTTTTAACAATCTTAGCAGATTACCAGACCTGTTCCAAGAAACCTAGCATGTTACAATATTTAATATATGAAACCTACGGCAGAATGATTTGTAAGGAGTAACCTAACTTTAGGCTTCATTACAGAGATGCTGCTTCCCAATACAGGCAATCAATATGTTTACCATAATATAGCTTAAATTTTCTACTTATTACTACCTTCAAAATATTGCTTTGAAGATTGTATCTGTCTGATGTTTCCCTCAAATGTTTCTTTCCATCAACACATTAACGTGGGAAATAATTTCTGGGTAACATGGGAAATAATTTCTGGGAAGGAGATCTAAGTTAAATGTTTAATTCCTGTTAAATGAGATTTTACTGAAAGTTTTAAAATTAACAGATATTTCCGTTAAGACTATCTTTGCAGTGTGTTTGAAGTCTATATTGAAAAGATGATTGACATCAACTGAAACTGTAGTTTCAGAGTGTTACAACTGAATTTTGGGTCCTCTTAGTCAATGCAAACCTCAAAAGAAGATACACTGAAAAACTGTATCAGTCATTAAGAATGCTTTTTTTCAAGAACTTACAAATTCTAATGATTTTGCCCTATAATACGGAAATGAGGATTGAGTTCTGTAAAATACAGTTATATTGTATTTCCTCCCACTCTTTGTTTTCCTAATGCAGTTTGCTGTTAAAATTGACCAAGTTGAAGATTTCTTAAAAAATACTCAAGAATTTGACAATATTGACACTTTGAAAGAACTCCTTCTGCAACAAGAGCATCACACAAAAGGTACAAACAATATTCTGCTCCTGGCGGTGTGAGTGTGTGCTGACTCCTTGGATAGTTTTTGTTTTCCCCTGAATAATTTTTTGAAAAATATCTCAGAACAAATATGATATTTTTTTCTAATATGCTGTTGAAAGAATTTAACTCTAGCAGTTTTTTCTTGTGTTAAATGAAAATGTATTATGCTTGTGTATGTTAATAGGTATACCATTTTAAAAATATTTGAGTAACATTTGAAAAATGGTATTAGATTTATAAATTATTATTTTTTCCTTGTGAAATTCTTTTCTTACAGAGCTCTTGGAAAAGTCGCTTACACTTCTAAACAAAAGCCAAGAACTAACTGAATTTATAGAAGGATTCAAATGTGAAGGGCCAAATGCAAATCCTGAGCTAATTCAGGGAGCCCATAGCAGCTGCTTGAAAATTGACAATCTCCTTGAACTGCTACAAGACAGGCGGCGGCAACTGGACAGATTTCTTAAACATCAGCGTCAAGGACTGGAGCAGGTTCTGCAAATTTTTTTGTGGCATCAACAAGAGAACAAGGTAAGACATAACAGTAAGGAAAACCACAGTTTAAAAAAAAATAAAATAAAACAATAAAAAAAAATCATGGACTGTTTCACAGTAAACTATGGTAGAAAAGGAGCTTAAGTATATTTATTAGGGTAACATCCCTGGCTCGTTTTTTTTTTTTTTTCTGTGAGATCCTAACTTGAATATTTGACTTTATATATAACATCTTCATAATTTATTTTAATATGTTTAATGCCTTCAAAGCAATATTTACATAGTGTAAGTTTCTTCTGTATTATTTCTGAAAAATATATCCTTCTCTAAGTTATCAAATGTGGTGCTTCAAAACAAACCAGATTCCCTTCAAATCAGATTCCCAGAACACTAACTAAATGAGCTATAGCAGCAACTGATAGCTGCAGAACGCTGTTTTTGGACCAGTCAGTTAAAGAGAAGATATAGCATAGTTAGCAAATTCGTGTGACTAAAAGTCTGACTGATTATTGTGTTCTTGGAGTCAAATCAAAAGTTTTTTCTGTATTGTTCTGTATTGTAAGGTTTCTGTATAGTTTAAAGGTTTTACATGCCTGCAATCTCTTTTTCTTCTTTCTCCCAGCTTAGCTCCCATCTCTTATTGAATCTCTCAAATACATCTTGCTTTTGTACCTTCCTTTCAAAGCCTAGGTATATCTGAATCTTACTCTTTCTTTTCCTCTTTCCAGTCCTACTGCCCTTTTCACTCTTCATCTCCCAGTGTTCAGATCAGATAACTTTTCTCTGTTTGTGGTGTGCATTATCTGATGAACTTCTGCAATAGCAGACTCTTGTGTGTCATTTTTATGGAGAGACACCACAGACTTTACCAGAGAAAAGATACAGGGAGAGTCCTGCTCTGCCGCCATGTCTTTGGATAGAAAGCGTGCTCTGAGAAGGGGGAACATATGCAAATTTAACCGCCGAAGTCTAATAAGATTAAAGCTGAGTTATTTTAAGTGTTTTGTTAATAGGTTAAATTTTTGTATGGACCACAAACAGTACAGTTCTGATTGTAATGCCTCTGTATTCATTCCTTGCCTCCAAAATAGTTCCCCATTATATCAGTGGAAAATGCCAACCTATGAACCATAATCCATTCTGTAGGCACCTGCTCTGCACGTGAGGTTGCTTAAACTGAGAAGCACCTTACTCAACAAACAAAACTACTTGCAGTTTTGCATAGAGACAACATAATTGTTAAGGTACACAAGCAAACTGACAGCCTTATTTCTGGAGCACTCAACAGCAGTAGCTGCAAGAAACAGAGCAAGAATTATTTATTGATTAGATAGAACAGATAAAAATAGTGTTGTCTTTATGCAAATGCCCTAATCTCAATATCTAATTATAAAATAGCTGAAAAAAAAGCCCTTGATCTTATATGCTTACATGGAAATAATGAAAAATGAATGACAGTATTAGAAGGCTTTATCAATTTCTACACAAACGATTAAAAAAATATCTAGTGCCTGCTTAGAGATGCATATTGCTGTTACTGTTTTTCATGGCACTTTTTTTTTTTTTCCAGTACTACCACATAGCTATCGCATAAAAGAAAGATCTTAAGTTTAGTGAATTCTAATAAATTTACAACAGCAAGAATTGAACTGTCAGTATCAGTCTAACTCAGTAGATTGGAACTGTGTTGTTTTTCATCTAGAATTAAAAAAAAAATCCTTTTTTAAAAAAGGATTAGATATAACTACAATTACTTCATTATCCCTGTGTTGTCACATAGTATTCAAATATACACGAACGCTCAAATGGAAGCATTTTTGCTATTGAAGAGTAAGAGAGAAATATGTGTTTGTTTGTTTGTTTTGACTCAAGCACACTTTTCAAAAACAATTCACATTACCTGAGATGGTAAAGGCCACACAATTTCATAAATTTTGCCAAAGATTTCTACCTGTCCTCATTGTGCAAGGGCTAAATACTTGGGAGTAACCAAACAGCAGGTAGATAACCAGATAGGTATTTGGGAGCAACCAGACTGACCCTAATTTAAGCATAATTGAAAGAGGGGCTAGTATTTAACTACCTGTTAGCTCATACCTGCATCCAGTTTGAAGCTCGTATACACAAGGAATGACAAATTCAAATAGTTTTTAGAATCATGCTTTTTAGAATATACTTGTGCTTAGCCATTCAATCATGATTCATTACCAATCAAGCCTGGTGTAATGTCTGCATCATTTACAAGTAATATATTCATATTTAAATACAAACACTGGAAAATTAACTTTTAGAGACTTTATGTAAAATGTCTCCCTCTGGTCTCTAAGACATTATGCATATATTTCTGTGCTGACAAATTCAATTCTTAAAGCCTCTCAGCAGATCTGAAATCTAATATTTTAGTCTCTGTACAGGACTGAACTCCGACTGATGTCAAATGTTGCTACATATGTAAGAAGAGCATATTGAACTCCCATTGATGTTAATGAGAGTTCAGGGGATACAGAGGAAGTGGTGTACTGGAGATGAGCTCTGCTGTGCAAGATACGAGTGGGTTTTTGCTCCTCTGTTTTGCTATGCACAATTACTAATGCAGATTTGTTTGTTTGTTTTTTTAAAAAAGCTGTAAAGTTTAAGTTTAAAGTTTAAAAATGCAGCACCTTCCTTTGATCTCCAATTGGAATGTGATGATAAGATGATTGCAACATGTTTCTTTATCAGTATTTTCATATGTGTAAGTGTACTTGTTATACCTTTAGAGAAGGGTGTCTAGCCTTCCTTTTTGGAAGTGTCAGCATACTATTTTCTGATAATCTCATTAATGAAAATCAAAGTCAGATTAGACTATTTTGTGCATAATTAATTATCTTTGGAAGTAGATTTATGAATGTTTTTTTTTTTTCAATCATGCATATATGAGACAATTAAAATTATTTCTGGTCCTTGGTAGCATCAAGGGCAGACATAAGAACTGAGTAAAATTCAGAGTACAGGTTAGTACACCCATATCAACTATCCAGACAGATATATAGGAAACAAACTATCTTGGTGTAAGTCACAACTTCTTAAGGTATCTTTATCTTGGTGAATTATTCAGGGTGTTCTTCCCTTTTAATCTTTGCATAATAAATAGGTTTATGATCTTGACTAAAAGTATTTATATATGTCAGGATATAGAAAGGTTCTGCCGTTTCTTTACTTGAAATCAAATTTCCATTATGATAAATTGATATTTGCATTCTAACATCTAGTAAATATGATCTGGAAATACATACATGAACGTGCACATACATGAGAAGAAATCTGAAGCGGTATTTAATGCACCAACACTGCTGTAGAGAATCATCTAAACATGGCCTACATCTGCTGGCAGTGTGCTCTTTGCTGATTTTTTCTGATAGCTGTGCCCAGCATTGTGGTGCTTCAATAGCTAGAATGAAAGCATCAAGTTTAGCTTGGACAATTTGGAGGCAAATATAACCATTGTCTTTTAATGTTTAGAACTATTTGAATCATTAAGATGTTGTATGAAGTTCATCTGTGAACTTTAGAGTTCACATATGATTCCAGCACATTCTGCAAAAACCATTTTTCATAAATATCAAAAATTATGTTTTACAATGAGTGCTGTCATGTAGACCTGAATATAGTTAAGTTATTCCAAATTCTATAATCAAATCAAATTAAGGCTACTCCTCTGCTAGCTGCTAGTGGTGAAATCATGGCACCAGTGAATTTAGCTGTAGTTTTTCCATTGCCTTTGTTATGGTCAAGACTTCTCCCCTTTTGTATTTCCAAATGTCTGATCCCCAGTGCTGTTTTTTCTTAAAGTGGTAATTTAGTTCCTCTTACTATTTTTATATATGTGTGCCAACTTCATATGGTTCCTAGACTTTCATTCTACAAAGAACCAAAAAAAACCAACACCTCTAAACAAAATGAATTTCTGACATCCTACCAAATGAATCCCATTGTTGGTGAGACATCTTTCCAGAGAATATAGGCATTCCTAGTAAAGTATCATGCACCTACATGGGTTATTTGGTCTTAATATTTCACAGTTGCAAACACCTGTTGGAAAATCACCTGTTGGTAGAGAAATGCACACAACTGGCACTGCAAGTAAAAAATACATTAAAAAAAAAAAAAGGTATAAAAAGTTATTTAACAGTAGTCAATTAATTGTGAATATAGTAGAGAAATTAATTTGAGAATAGCTCATCCACATGAAAACATGATGCTTGCAGTTCAGCATTACTATGTCAGAATATATTTTACAAGCTGCTCAAGTTCAAACTTCCTGAATTAAGCTGTCAGACTTAATTTATGTTGTGTATACATGTGTACTTTAATACATACTGGAAGAAAGGGAGTGAAAAACAAAGTTTTTCCAGATGTGAATAATTTTTAGAAAGAAAAGTGTGTTACTTAATTTACGTTCACTAGTGTATTTGCAATCTCACACAGTGTCTGACTGTACAAGAGCTTCAGCATGGCATGGGACAGTATATGTGTGTATAGGCTTTGAATTAACACGTGTAAGAATTCCCCTCCTTAAAATACCCCCAGTTTCACAAGTGTACTGGGTCTGGAAGCCAGTGGCTGCAGAGCAGCCACTGTGCGGAGAGCCTGGGGTGTTTCAGCAAGTTCCAAGGGTGCCGTGACAGAACTTGGCTGAGCTCTCTTTTAGTGAAGCTGTTGGTGCCTCAGTGAAAGTACAGTTGAGAAAGGAAAAAGGGCTGCACCAGCTGTGTGAAGAGTGAGGGTGGGGCAAAAACCTGTGAGGAACAGCCCTGTGAACACCAAGGTCAGTGAAGAAGGAGGAGGTAGTCCCGCAGGTGTCTCAGAAGGACACCTGCAGCCCATGAAGAGAAGCAATATAGGAGTAGCTACCCAAACTGTGGAGAAGGTGTGTCAATTGAGTAATCCCTGACAGAAGTGTAGCCACAGAGAGCCCATTTTGGAGCAGGGTATCCTGACAGGAACTGCAGCCCCTGGAGATCCCATGCTGGAGGAGGATAAAAGTGTGAGGAGGAAGCTGCAGCACAGAAAAGCTGTTATGTACAGACTGTAACGCCCTGGCCCCCCTGTGCTGCTTTGTGAGGGGAGAGATGTAGAAGAATTGGGACTGAAGGAATGTGGTTGAGCCTGGAGAAATCCAAATCCACCATCTAAATCTGCAACTGGCAACAAATTAAATGAATTTTTCTGATATAGAGTCTGTTTTGCCAGTGATGGTAACTGTTAAGTTGATACCTTTATTTCATTTGAAGAGCTTTTTTATCCTGTTTTCTCCCCCTGTTCTGTGAAAAATTGCTTCCAGAAAAAAAAAAAAAAAAGTCAGTAAATACACATCTGGAGGATATGCTCAAGAAATTGAAGGCTTAGCAGCAACATAAATTGTTTACCTTCCAGGCTCTGTTGAGTAATTTGATAATTTGCTCTATCCTTTGTTTTTTATTTTTTAGATGTGTTGGAAACATTTTCAGTTTTAAGGTTCTTTCATTCTTAGAATCCTTTCTTTTTATTTAAAATAGCTTCTACATGAACAGGTAGGAAAAAAATCTGGAGCATGCTTTAAAAATACATAGTACCTGCAGTACAAAGTAATTCTGAGTATGCTATTAATTATTTAATTATGGTGGTGATTTTCCAGACTTTGAAAAGGTTGAAAGAAGTCTACTTGATAATACTATTTTAAAATACAAAGCTTCACTCAGGAATTCCTGCCATGTGCAGTTTACAATGAAAGTGAGAGGTACATAAAATTAATCAAGTAGAAATAAATGCAAGTCATTCTGTGCAGTTTACAACAGTTTGACTAATGAAAGTGTTTGTTATTTGGACTTTAGCAAATGTCAATCTGTGAGATGTAGGATTTTTTTCATTTTGAAAGCTATTAAAGCTGTCTTGTTATATATATATTCCAGTATGTGTTTATTTTGATCACAATCCTTTTATTCTGTATTTATTAACTTTAAAATAGTACTAATGCAAACATTTGAATAAAAGTATCAACATTAGGAATGAAAAATTAAAAGAATGAAAATTAGGGCTGCTTTTTTAGATGAAACCATCTTGTACGTATTCAAAGAACGGACAGGCATTTTTTAAGTTTTCATTGACTGAGAATTCTTTATATTATTTATGTAGGTAACATCTTGGTACAAGAAGAACATCAGAGATTATGTACACAAGCAAAACCTAGGCTCGTCTTTATTGGAAAATGAAGAGTTACTTCAAGAGCATAAAGAAATGGAAGTCAAAGTGAAAGTAAGAAATATGATAACTGAATAGTGAAATAACTTTAAAAATAAATATCAAAACATGAACTTATGAGTTTAATATATGAGTTTAATACACTCGGTATGTGTGGTATATATTTGTCTGAATTAGTGTGTTGTTTTTTTTTTTTCATTTTACTTCTTTTAACAAAAACTTTCATGTTTGACAGTATTTTTCACGTTTAAAACTTTAAAAGCTATTTACAAGGCAAAGGAAAAGTAATCCGTTATGCTGTTTAATTTGTTTTTCAATGTAGTGGCAATTTTCTATATTGGTAGTTTATGTATTAAACAACATTGCAAATACTAAAGAAAAACAATTTAATAAAATGTATCAAAATTAAAATTTTGATAGAGCATAAAAAGCCCGCCACTACTACCATAATCCATTCTTACTGAACTGCATATGTGATTGAAACAGGTGCATATCAATTTATTTATTAGGTACAAAAGTAATTGAAATTTTATTTTCAATGTGAATAGCAGTTTTCTAGAGAATAATCTTTTACCATGGCTCATAAAAGCAAGATGGTATCTAAGAAAATGTTGATATCAAAAAAAATTTTTTAATGTAAATTGCATATAATTTAGAACATTTCTTTAGGTGCTCAATTGTGCTCTCATCAGGTAAGTGCTGTTGCTGGGTCAAGATAAATCATCATGATATCATTTCTAACAGTTGTGTTTGGAGAACTCATGTGACCACACAGCCTGTTTTCATCCAAAGACCATTCCTATAGGAACAAATACAGCATGTCAGAAAACAGATTTTCTTAATTTAGAGAAGTTTGTGTATGAAAAACTAAATTCTTCTGCAGTGCTTGCACAAGCAAAGCAGGAGAAAAAAAAAAAAAAGCACACAAAAAAATACATGAGTATGGTACGATTCCATATCGTTTGGAAAATCTAGGAGCAGAAACTAAAAGTTTCTTTATAAAACTATTACAATAATGAACTGAATTAGTGCTTTAAAATTCCTCTTCTACAATTTTACTGTGTAATTTTATTACCTCTGATTCTTCAACATCTTGTCAAGGTAAAAGCAGACAACTTTTGCTGTATATATATTGAAAGAAGAGCTTAGGAGAGCTTAGGGATATGGTTTAGTGGGGACTGTTAGCGTTAGGTCAGAAGTTGGACTCGATGATCTTGAGGTTTCTTCCAACCTAGAAATTCTGTGATTCTGTGAAAGCAATCTCTTGAGTAATAGCAAAAATACAGTATCAGATTTTTCTGGTAACACAAAAACTACAGTTAGAGTTGTCCTCCCTTCAGGAATCCCTTTAGCATCTTATATGCTAATTAAGAAGTAAATTGTTAATATTCTACATTAATTTCATAGAATCATAGAATCATAGAATATCCTGAGTTGGAAGGGACCCTTAAGGATCATCAAGTCCAACTCTTGACACCGCACAGGTCTACCCAAGTTTAGACCATGTGACTAAGTGCACAGTCCAATCTCTTCTTAAATTCAGTCAGGCTCGGTGCAGTGACCACTTCCCTGGGGAGCCTGTTCCAGTGTGCAACCACTCTCTCTGTGAAGAACCCCTTCCTGATGTCCAGCCTAAACTTCCCCTGCCTCAGCTTAACTCCATTCCCACGGGTCCTGTCGCTGGTGTTAATGGAGAAAAGGTCTCCTGCCTCTCGACACCCCCTTACGAGGAAGTTGTAGACTGCGATGAGGTCTCCCCTCAGCCTCCTCTTCTCCAGGCTGAACAGGCCCAGTGCCCTCAGCCGTTCCTCGTACGTCTTCCCCTCCAGGCCTTTCACCATCTTCGTAGCCCTCCTCTGGACACTCTCCAACAGTTTCATGTCCTTTTTATACTGTGGTGCCCAGAACTGCACACAGTACTCGAGGTGAGGCCGCACCAGCGCAGAGTAGAGCGGGACAATCACCTCCCTCGACCTACTAGCGATGCCGTGCTTGATGCACCCCAGGACACGGTTGGCCCTTATTGAACTTCATGCGGTTGGCGATCGCCCAGCTCTCTAACCTATCCAGATCCCTCTGCAAGGCCTTTCCACCCTCATTTGAGTCCACAACTCCTCCAAGTTTGGTGTCATCAGCAAACTTGCTCAAAATGCCTTCTATTCCTACATCCAGATCGTTTATAAAAATATTGAAAAGTACCGGCCCTAAAATGGAGCCTTGAGGGACCCCACTGGTGACCGCCCGCCAGCCTGACGCAGCCCCATTCACCATAACCCTTTGGGCCCTGCCCGTTAGCCAATTGCTCACCCATCGTATGATGTTTTTATTTAGCTGTATGCTGGACATTTTGTCCAGTAGGATCCTATGGGAAACCGTGTCAAAAGCCTTGCTGAAGTCCAAAAAAATCACATCAGCTGGTTTCCCTTGGTCCACCATACGGGTGATCTTATCATAAAAGGAAATCAGGTTAGTTAGGCAGGACCTACCCTTCACAAACCCATGCTGGCTGGGACCAATGACTGCTTTGTCCCCCAGGTGCGCCTCAATACGTTCGAGAACCATCTTCTCCATGATTTTACCAGGCACTGATGTGAGACTGACAGGCCTGTAATTGCTAGGGTCTTCTTTCTGACCCTTCTTGAAAATCGGCACAACATTTGCCAGCTTCCAGTCTACCGGGACCTCTCCAGACTCCCAGGATCGTTGAAAAATAATTGAGAGAGGTTCCGCGATGACGTCCGCCAGCTCCTTCAGCACCCGGGGATGAATCCCATCCGGACCCATGGACTTGTAGGGATCCAGGTGGAGTAGCAGATCCCGCACACGTTCAGGGTCGGTCGGGAGTTTGTCATCCCCACCGTCCCGGTCCTCCAGCTCGGGGCACCCTGGGTCCCGAAGCCCATCATCGGCATTGAAGACAGAGGCAAAGAAGGCGTTAAGCGTCTCTGCTTTGCCTATGTCATCGTCTGTGAGAAGACCTTCCCTGTCAAGGAGCGGCCCTATGTATTCTTTAGTTCTCCTTTTTCCATTCACATATCTAAAAAAACCCTTTTTATTTTCTCTCACAGACACAGCCAGCTTCAACTCTAGGTGTGCTTTAGCCACACGAATTTTCTTCCTACAGACACGAGCAGCATCCCTGTATTCTTTCCATGTCACCCGGCCCTCCTTCCAGTAGCGAAACACTCTCTGTTTCCGCCTAATCTCCATTAGAATGTTCCTGGTCAGCCACACCGGCCTCCTGCCCCGCCTGCCTGACTTGCGATATTTAGGAATCGCCTGATCTTGTGCTTCTAGGAGGCATCGCTTAAAGAGTGACCAGCACTGGTGGACATCAAGGCCTTCAAGAGCAGCTTCCCAGGGGACCTTGCTGACTAGTTCCCCGAGCAGCCTGAAGTCCGCCTTCCCCATATCTAGGGATGAGGTTTTGGTGGCACTTTTCCTTCTGTCACCGTAAATTTTGAACTCAACCACTTCATGGTCGCTATGACCGAGGCGGCCACCAATCACCACATCTCCCACCAGACCCTCTCTGTTTTCTAGCAACAGGTCTAGGAGGGCACCTTTCCTAGTTGGCTCCGTTAGCACCTGCACCAAAAAGTTATCATCTAGGTGCTTCATGAACCTCCTGGACTTGCTCGTGTCAGCCGTGTGGCACTCCCAGTTAACGTCTGGCAAGTTGAAGTCCCCCATAAGGACAAGGGGAGTTAATCTCGAGGCCTCTCTTAGTTCTGTAAAGAATAAGTTATCGGCGCTATCGTCCTGGCCAGGCGGTCTGTAATAGACTCCCACAACGACATCCCCTTTATTCGTTCGTCCCTTGATCCTTACCCAGAGGCTCTCAACTTTGCCATCGCCGACCTGAAGTTCCACACAGTCCAGCCCCTGCTTTCTGAGTGAAATGTAGTTTCCAGAAGGCTTCAGAAGTTTTATTAGATCAAACAGCTAACTGTTTTATCAGTTCATGTGAGCAAATATGAAAACAGTTGTGAAGAACTTCTCAGTTTATTTGCAGGCATAACTCCGAGGAGGACCTTACACAAAACTTGGCCAATTAATTAATTACATGGTTTCTGTGGCTTGGTGATTGCTTAGAGCATAGCTGATGTCTGTTGTAATTTATGGCTAGTTCCCTGATTCCATAAACTGTGAATGTTTCCAAAAAGCAATTAGTAGCTTTAAAATATTTTATTTACCCCACTGCAATAATCTTGATTAGTGTCTTTCCCATACTGTCTGAATGGCCACTACGATTTCTAATAACATTCTATCAGAAATAATAAGGACTGATAAAATAAATTTTCAGATTTCTGTATTAGGTCTTACAGTGGTATAAATGCATCTTTTCAAGTAACATTTCATATGTATATTGTAGTTTTGAGAGTGTGGTGAAAAGTTGCTGTCATACAGACAAGTGTTAAGTGTTCCCATAGGGAGTAAGATAATGGAAAGAATTGAAACTGTGTTGTGAACAGTTTCAAACAGAAAATACGCTTTCGTTTACTTGCATGTATTTTTGCATTAAGATTGTCAGGGCACATGATTTGTTTAAATTGCTCAGAGGCAAGACTAAAAAGGATTTAGACCTTTATTTGTGTGACTGGGCTGACAGAAGATAGGAGAATGGTTTATTACGTTCTTAAGTTGGTATCTTCTCTTGACCTTGTTGAGAGGTGAAACGATTGAACATTAGTTCTATCTTGTGCAATAACCAAGAGCAAAAACAATGATTCATAAAAAGAGGAAAAACAAAACAATACAAACATTAAATGGGCCCCCTACACACTCCCACACCAGGTAAGATTTGAGAATAGAGGAGAGACAGATTGAAGGAAGAGTGATTCTAGTTCTTTCTGAGTTCATGCCTGGAATTCATATTTCAGTGGGACTATGCTGGCACTAATTAACAACTTTCTGTCACAGTTCTGTGGGTTGCTTGACATGGTAGGAAAGAACCACTAGCAGTGCTTTGTGGCCAAATAGCGTTAGAGATAAAGGAGTAAAGGGTGCTGGAATCAGTCCCCCTTTTAATAAGGATTATTTGGAGAGCACGTCTTTCCTGTATCTGCATGGTTATTGAGTCTGTCATAGCTATCATAGGTATTAACATGCTCTATCCTGAAACCAGTGTTTCAGAATAGTTCTTAATGGCAAAATTCAGTATCACCATCACTGTTATCAACCATGTTTTTTGACATTTCATCCATCAGTTATAACCCTCTTGAAAAATACCTGATCAATCAAATAACCTAGGAAGAGCGGAAGAGCTCTTTTTTTTTTTTTTTCTGAGATGGAATAGTGAAACCAAATGTTTAAAAGGCTTACTACTGTGAGGAAAAAAAGGGAATAGTGATATAAGCTAAGGAGACACATTGAATATAGGCACATAATAGTGCTTTGCCGCCTCAGTAGGTCAGAGGAATTCACGCGCGTTTCTTGTCAAAAAAAAAAAAAAAAGTCAAAGTAATAGTAGCCTTTGTGTTCTTTACAGGGGATATGAGTAACAAATATTTTAGTGCTGACAAGCAGACTGTTACAAATTTAACATGTTGGGTGATAAAGTACAGAAAGAACAAAGATTTTTCTGCTGAGTTTGTATGTCCTTATTGACAGGAAGTATAGGCTTTTTATGTGTAGAAATCTTTCCTTGCAGATAGAAAGCTGGAAATACTAGAAATTCTCCAGCTATTTTATAGAAAGTTGAACTGGTTTTGAGTGGTGATGAAATAGCTTTTAGAGAGATCAAAATATTTTAAGAGTGTGCAAGGTTGTCATTTCCATACTTTAAAAAAAAAAAAAACAAAAAACAAACAAACAAAAAAAAACACTATAAATTATTGCAATAAATTATGTTGTTTTATTTTGTTTTTAATATGTGTGTGAGAAAGGTTATGAAAGAAGTTTGGCTGAGTATTAAAGAGACAGTTTAACCTTTGCTTCAAGATTATTTGAAAACTGCTATTGGGTAATATATACCCAATGGATTTGTGAATGTTTTTACAATGAAATCCTCTTGCAACTCTACAAGTTGAGTCAATTTCTTACAATTAGTCTTGCCTGCTGTAATGATGATTTACACATTGCAATACACTGAAACAATTCAGAACTTTTTTCTCTTTTTCTTTATCTGCTTCTAAGCTAACTCTAGAAAATTGCCCTTTTTGTTGCATTAAAATACTCTTTTTTCATTCTTGCATAAAATATTATTAATTATGATATGAATAGCATAAGAAATGAGGATGCACATATCCACCTGCACTTTCCTGGCCTTTTTTCAGTTTATTCATCCCAGTTAAAAGCTTCCAACTGTAATGTTTTCTAATTCTCATTATGTTTTAATGTAAACAAAGCTTTTTCTAATATGACCTCAGAATACATTTGGTACCACTCATTCCAGTCACATGTGCTGGAACGTGGTGCTGATATTGTGGTGCTGATACAGTTGTATGTCAGGGGTCCAATTTAGCATGATTTGCTCATAACTAGGTCAATTAAAGTTGTGTGTATGGAGAGAGATCCTGTGCTATTTCCAACATAGACACTTAAGGTAAACGGGAATAAACATAGCACATTAGACCATAATTAACCTCAAAAGCCTTATTCTTGCTCAACATTACTTAGAGCAGAGAGACAAAGAATTTTGTGAAAGGGGAGTTGTGCATTAAGGAATAGTGTATGATTTCACTTGATTAGAAGTGCAGACTGAAAATTTTTGCATCCAGAATTCATAAGTGGTCATTATTTTTTGTTTCAAATTAATATTAAAAAAAAAAAAAGGAGTTTGCTACAGCTGTTTGTCAGTAACAGACAAAATGAAAGTATTTCAAAAGTAACAATAATAATTTGCTTTTATCGTGTCCCCGATTAATCTCTCTTTATTTCTCTAGGAAAATGGAGGTGTTCAGTTCAGGTTCTTAAGGAATACTTATATAGAATTAGAGGGTTTTCTTGGAAAAAAATGCAATTTCTTTGTGCACATTTCAGAGAGTTTGCATGGAAAAAATGCTCTCATATCTTTTAGATTTTTTTCTGTCTGAGTTACCAGACATTTGATACAATTCTGTGGAAGGAAATGCTAAATGAATGTTTTAAAGTTTGTCTTATTTCAAAATACATTTAATTCATTACCAGAAAATGTGGAAGAAAGATGCTACCTAAGGCACTGGAAATTGCAGAATAGCAGATGCTCCTTTTGTTTTGAATAGCATGATAAGACACCAATTCTAAGTGCTGACAAACACAGCAGGGTCAAAGTACATAATGCAACTGTTACGGTAATTTATCATTTTCTCTATAAAAATGCAGCAAAATCAAATGACTAAAAACCAAAGCAGTAGTTGTAAGACAGGAAAAGGTGAAATTACTCTTAAAGTAAAACTCTTTTCCATTTGAGCTACCTAGTCTGATATGTCTATATGGTTAAGTCATAGCCTAGAAAAGATAATGGGACTGAATACTGTAATAGTATTTACCATAGGTTTAGGAAAAAAATAAAAAGTTTGGTGCATGAAGGCTTAACCCCTAAATTTTAGGGATTTAGGGTCAACGCACTAGAAACACAAGTCAGTTCAGTGTGAGTAACTGAAAAAAGAAGTAGGAGTAAACATAAACAATCAGTTCTGATTAGATGCATCCACCTGGTGCAATGTATACAAAGGGTATGTAAACTTGTACTGATTCAACTGAATCCATTTTAAAGCACCTCGGTTTTACAGGACCTACCTCAATTAAGTGTCAGTAATGCTTTTGATTCTGTGGCTTGAATTCCAAATTATGGTCTTCCTTTCTAAAGTACCTTTCCTTCTGTCTGTCACTGCTACTAGGAAGGTTCAAGATCAGGTAAGGCTTTGAATGGACTTGTATTTTGTCCATCAGGAAATCAGGGCAAATGTACAACTGATAGTTTTAGGGGTGATACCACAATTCACTGTAAAGGGTAGTCATCTGATTTAATTGATTACCAGACAGTTCTCAGCAAACGTTGTCTTAATGGAAGCAGCTGTTATCCAGGCAATATTTTAATTTGTTCTTTGATGAACAGTTGGTTTTAAGGGGATGTTTGTCATAAAAGTTTTTTTTTGTTGTTTTTATGTTGTCCAGGCCATCTTGCCTGTGAAACTCTGTAAAGGAATGTAGGATGCCACCACTGACAGCTGTTACAAAGAAGACATAATTTGCTGAGAATTCATCCTAAAAGAAATAGCTTCAAACAGTGATAAATTTCAGGCTTGTAAACAAAATGTATGTTTTCAAGTATGAATAAGATCTTTGTGTAGGTATATTGTTTTCCTCCTGGTAGTTGATTAAAACGGAATTTTTCCTATCAGGAATGGAACTCCACTGTGGAACAATTAGAGGCTGAAGCACTTAAGATTTTGCTTTCGGAGGACTATACAGAAAAAGAACATCTAAACCTCACAAATCAGAAAATCTGTTTGTTGCAAGAAGAAGTGTGCTGCCATATGGAAGAAAGGAAAGCCCTGCTACAAGAGGCCAATAACTTTTTTAATGCTGCTGGCAAGGTTGGTAAAAAGCCAAGCTTGTAATAATGTGATCATAACATTAGTGTACATTTGTGGGATGATAGGTGTGGGATTATGCAAACAGTTTTCTAAACAATTTTGAATGGAGAATTGCTAATCTGATTACCCTTTAATATGATCTCTTTTCTGAAACTTCTATCCAAAATGGCAGATGTATTTTTAAAAAGCATTAAAAATATGTATATATTGAGAAGAACACTCAGTTTCCCAAAAAAGTATTTGGGAAACATAGTTTGCGAAAATCTGAATTTAAAGGTCATTGTCTCTGCTATGATATCATTAAGCTGTATGAAGAGACAGAAGCTGTTATGTAATACTCAAACTATTACAGGCTAGTTTGGATACCAGAAATGGTATATGTTTACTTGCAGTGTTCTCCACAGGGGCTAATGTATAATCAGACATGAGGAAAATCAAGAACAACATACAATTCCTCATATAGGGCATACCATACAGTACATGCTCTATACATGACATAATAAAAAAGCAGTCAGTTAAGACACAGAACTCCCATAATCACAGTGCTAATGATGAGACAAGGCCCACACTTGGGGTCCTTGCTTGACGCTGAGGTCAGCAAGATAATGTGTAGGTAGTAATTTCCATCAAAGATGTCCTCATCTGCAGACAGTGATTCAGGTTTGTGGTGGTTTTACTCAGGTGGGCAGCCAAGCTCCACCACAGCCGCTCTCTCACCCCCCCTCCACTGACCAGTTGCTCTTGGTATAAGGAAAGTGGTTGTAATCCAGTTTCTAGTGGATGTGTGCTCATATAATAAAAATCAAAACTCTCTTTAAACGCTAATTTGACACTAGCTTGTACTGTCTTCTAGAAACTCATCAGAGGTGAAAATAAAGTTGAATAAGACAATTTTTCCCCTTTCAAGTACTACTTGAGAAGTCTTGATAACTTCCAGTTTCACCCCAAACTGTTAGAACACCAGTGTTGTTCTAGCATTTAAAATTCTGGGGAGGGGAGGATGGTGCAACGTGTCTGCCAAAAATACAACAAAACTATTTTCTAGTATTAATATGCAACAATTTGTTAAATGAACTCTGATTTAGAGTAGAAGGATTAAGCAAGGAACCCTCTATCAGATTGGTGAGCTCTCTTTTTAAAAACAGTTTGTCAATTTTGTTGCCTTGATTTGGGGCATTAAGCTTTTGAGACATAAGGTGTTTAGCCAGCAGTGCTGGACCAAGTGCATATTACACTGAAGTTACACAAAACAAGGACTTGTGTACCCTTTTTGTAGATACTAGGTGCTTAGAATCTGCTATCTGAAGATATCCCATAGTCCAATTGATTTTTAAGTCCTTCAGAGCCTTGAAAATCTATTGCTACCTTTGAAAATTTTCTACTGCAAAGCAGGACCTCAAAATTAATGACCAGACTTAAATTGTGAAAGCTCTTTATTTCTTTTTTACAATAAACCTGTTCTTCATGGGCACATACAGCAAGTAGTATTAGCTATGCATGTTTTTCCAAAACTTTTTAGTTAGAAACTAGTTAGAAAAGTTCCTAATTCAAGGTGGCCAAACACCAAGCGGTCTTCTGTAATTTTTAAGGCATGTTCTTTGTAGATCACTTAATGAAACTTTATAAGCAGATAACTTCCAGGGATAGCTCCAACAAACTTGATATATCTATTATACATGCTGAAAAAAATAAGCAACAGCTTGCACTGGTTTTTGTTTTGAGCACCAGGTGGGGCTCTAACCATGTGTCTTTTAACCTATGATATATTCCTTCAGTATTTTTTTATTAAACGACATGTAAACATCACTTAGTATTGAAATTAGTTGTAGACCCTTGAAGTGACAAAGATCTTTTCTTCCAGTAACTATGATCTTTCTTGATCTCATTTACAATACAGAAACAGAGAAGGTTAGGTGGAAAAAGTGCAAAAACTGTCCTTGATAGTGAATCCCCTTCTAATTTGAACAATGAGCTACATGAATTATAGGTCTGTTGCTTTGAGAGCAAAGGTAGCATCTTTTCATAATACAGGGCTGTGCTTTGTGAATGTACTTGATGAAAACAGGACTAGTTCTTGTGTCTGCTCAGCATGCCGCTGTTCCTGTTATGTGTAAGAGTGAATAAAACAGGATCTGCTACTCCTGTGGTGCACTGAAACTGAATCACTATAGTTCAGAAAAGACACATTTTCTATTTATTCTGAGGGCATATCTGAACCTTTGGACTATTTACATCTAATGAACAAATGAACAAAGTAGTTCAACAAAATTAGTTGTTTTGATGCTACTTTTCAGGTCACTGGAAAGCATAATACTTGCATTGTGTTTATGTTCATAATTTCCGGTGTGCATTTGACCATTTCTATTTTTACTGAAATTACTATTTACTAACTTTACTAATGGAGTATTTAAATGTTGCCTTCATTCAGCATTAAAAGGCAGTTGTTGTCACTTCTGTTGTTTGAATGAGAACCTTCTTGTGTTAAAGAAAAATGGAGAACAAGTATAAGAAAACAGAAGTGCATGTCTGCAAAATCAAAGAATGTTTATAATAAAAATAGATTTAATTATAATTTACTTGTTGAATATGTTTGATACATTTAAAACATTAAAATAATAATGGTGAAACTCCTTGGTTGTGCTTCAACAAACCTGCTAACGCTGTCAATTGTATTAATCGTATTAGTGTTGCTATTTTGGTTCTGCTTCAGTATCCAATTTGTTTGACTATTTCTGAAAATTGAATAGTTTTAAATTCAGAGTAATTATGATTTTGCATGCCCATACTTGCATAAACTTTTGTTGAATTATACCTCTTTTCTTCTGTGACCTGCAAAATCAGTATCAGACCCTAAATTAAAATGTTGTTGTTCTGAGAAATGGGGAAACTGAAGAAATGGGCAATGTTAATTGCCCGTTGGTCATCAGTTTATGTAAAAGAATTTATGCTTGCATTTTAAATAGAAATATTGACAACAGTGTTTTTTTTTTTTTTTTTTTTTTTTACAGGCACTTGATGCACTTGAAGATATTGAGAATTACTTTAGAATCCTTAATTCGGAAGGCTTAAGTCTGCCTATCTTGGCAATGAAGTACGAGGAATTAAAGGAAGAAATTAAAAGCTGCACAGCAAGTACTTTGCAAAAAGGACAAACTTTAGTTAATAAAGCAGATTCTCACAGGTATTCCCTCTATTTTTCATATTTGCTGTGTTTCTCCATATCTACCTGTAGCTTTACTGCTGTACTAGTTAACTAAGTGTGGTTCTAAATGACCATTTCAGCCATGCTTACCTTTCGTATCTCACTGCTGGCATTAATACAAACCTGTCTATTTAACAAAAATGTTTAGGAACACTACATTCTACTTTCAAGAGTGGTGTCAAATAGGGCATGGTTCAGAAATGGTGGTTTAGTTAACACTTTGGGAAAAAAACATGTAAAAGAAAATGTAAACAGCTGCAAACTCTTCCTGCAGCCCTTTTAGACCTTTTTTTCTGCTTCTAAAGGTATATATATATATATTTATATATATTATATAAATATATATATATATATATTATATATATATATATATAAATGTCTGCTTGCATCATAAAAATAAGTCCTGTTGTAAGAAAACAAACATAATATGACTTTTCAATGCTTCCTTGCTGTCATTAGACCTCATGTGGAACACTTTACATGCCTAGGTATGGGCAATAGTTAAGGATTACAATCATGGAATAATTTATATTGGCAAGGAACTTTGGAGATCATTTAGTGCAATTTCTTGTTCAAAACGTTCAACTTAGATCAGGTTACTCTGGGCCAGGGTTTGAATATCTCCAAGGACAGACTTCACAGCCTCTTGGGCATCCTGTTTTAGTGCTTATGCCTTTTCCTTATGAAAAGTGTTTTCCTTTTATCTAGCCAAAATTTTCCTTGCTGTAATTTGTGAGCATTGCCTCTTGACCTTTTGCTGTACACCTGTGAAAAGACTCTGATCCTGCCTTTTGTGTAACCCCACTTCCTCATAGATAATGGAAAACAACATTTAGATCACCTCTCTACCTTCTTGTCTTTACTCTACACAGTTTTGTCAGCTTGCCAATGTACATCATGTGCTCCAACCCCCAACCATCTTGGTGGCCTCTGTTGAGTTCAGCTCAGTTCTGCTCCAGGTTGTCTATGTCTTTCTTGTACTGTGGGGACTCAAACTGGCCTCCAGATGCAGCTTCTTAAGCCCTTAATGGAAGGGAGTGACCTGCTGGCTAGGCTCTCCCCAGTGCTAGTTTTCAATGCCACAATGATCCTGACTCACAGTCAATTTTTTGTACACGAAGACTAGTTTCTTTTTTTTTGTTGTTTCTTTTTTTTTTTTTTTTCCCAATCCACAGCTTTTGGAGATATCGCAAATATTTCCAGCCAACTCATAAGCCTTCATTGCTTCATTGCTTTATGGCTGAAGCGATGAGTTCTGTCTGCAAATGTGCTAAAGTGTTTATATTGCAGAACAGTAATTTTCCCCAGAAACATTCATGTTTTGAAAGAGGGAAAACAGAGACCTTTGTCATGTATAAACTAGTATGCTGTCCATTAATACTGGCCAGTATTTAGCTCAGTGATTAACCCAATGGGACAACAAGATTTGTATAAACAGTTAAGGCCAAAGGAGGAAGATTTGTACAGGAAACAGGACTCCTATGAAGACTAAATCCTGATACTGTTCTGTTCCCATTATTGTACAGTTCACTGATAGCCTTAACTGCCTTCACAAACTTCCCTTTTCCTACTTCCCTGGGACTGGAAATCCTGACAAATATTGGCAGATGCCATTTGAAGGCAGAGAAATGGGTGAATCTGAAAAAATTATTTTATTCACTGTAATTACTTTTACAAAAAAAGAAAACAAAACACTGTTATTCCATAGGACAGATGTTTATAGTAGCTGGACTGTGTTTTAGGATGGTGCATTGACTTCAGTGGCATAATTGTAAAGCCAAATCACAGTATAAATGAAGACATAAGATTTTATTTCTGTATTATTTTCAAATCTTCTTAAAGCACATTACAACCCTATGCTAAAGTTGGAATTAGATGATCTTCAACATCCCTTGCAACTCAAACCATTCTATGATTCTAAAAGATAATACCAAGTAAGCTAAAACACTGAAAATATTCACATTGCAAGAGGAACGGAAAAGGACAGAATTCCTCCTGATATTAAATGTTATAAATTACATAACAAGCAATTGTTTTGTCATCTTTTCTTCTGTTAAAACATCATCCTTTAAAAAAATGTTGACTTAGAATGTATGAGACATTCATTGTCTACCTAATGTAATGACACTGAAGTACTTGAAAGTCCAAAGAAAACATTCTTTTTTAAAGTAGAAATTATGTTGTATAATTTTGCTCTTTTTATGGCCATTCTGCTTGTGGTCTCAGTCTTTAGATTAACTAAGGTCGTCAGTACTATTTGTAAAATTAAATATTTCTCAGTGGATATGGATATACGACAAGTGAATCTGATTTATGAAACTGGCAATAAATGATTTTTTTTTGAAATGTCTTGTCTGAGTGCTACTTGTTGTCAGTTTTGTTGGCATTCAGGTTAATATTTTTCTTGATTAATTTTCTTGTAAGTGTCACAGCTTAAAGTTCTTGTGAAATTACTTATAAAAATAATCATAAATGTTGTTTTGTTTTTTAAGTCATTAAAAGCCTGATTGCTGAGCAAAACTGAGAAATGCTAATAGTTGCACTTTTCCATTTTAGCTCTTGGGTAACAGGAATTCAGAAAATCATAGAGTATGTTCAAAAAAAAGTGGATCAATTACTGAGGCAGTGTCCAGATTATAAAGAACTTACTTTGAAGAAACAACAATGGAGTACCTCACTTGAAGAACATCTAAATATGGTACATCGTAACATGCCTTCTTGTTAATATGTTAGCAATGCACTGCATATCCATAGTTTAACTATGTGAATATTAAGCTTAACTCAAATAACACAAATTACAAATAACACTGATTTGTTAGAGAGCACACAGTTTTAGTTAGAATGCTGAATGTTATCAGAACCAGTGAACCTAAAACTGTTCTGAGAAATGTTTCCATGAGAACATTTTACCAACCATCTTTTAATAAAGCAATGCTTTGCTTAGATAATGAGCTATTATGTAAGTTATTCTTTGGGAAATGAAGTGAATAATTAGTATTGTGACCCTCATACATGTTTGCTATACTGTTTCTGTCTTCTGTTTCATCGTGCTGCAGATAAAAGTAGAATTATGGCAAAGTTGGGGGTTAATAAGCATGGTGGCTGAACTGCAGTAAATTTTTCAGTTAGGCTGAAGAAGAGTGGATTCTCTTCACTGAAATAATTCCTTTAATTCAATAAGATATGCTTTAAGGAAATCACAGCTTTTTTAAAGTGTTTGAATGTTCTGTAATAGTGCGGACTTTTTAATAATTTGTCAGAGATGAAGTAGACCCATGACTCCTAATTAAGGTTCCATATGTGAATTAAAAACAAATTAAAAAACTTACAATCTTTTAACAAAGTTCATACTAAGGAAATCCCAGAGTGTAGAAAAAAAGAAAAAGAAGTACTCAAACTTGATGACTGAATAATTAAGAATGTAATCTGATATTTCATATTTCTATGATGTTTATAATGAACTACTTTGAATCAAATGGCAAGGCAATTTGCAATACATTGGTCCCATAGCACGTTTTCAACGGAAGAGGCCTTAATAATATTAGAATACAATGCAAATATTGTTGAGTTTGGTTGAAAGTATATTTGCTGATAGCTCCTCTTGGTATTGTAGCAATGATGTCACTAGCATACCATCGATCTTAAGCTAAAGCTACAATAATGAAGGTAATTTTTACTCAAAAGGTAGACCCTAATATTTACATGGTTTCATTCTGCACAGTTTGTTCTAATAACTTTATTCCCAGTCTTCCATTAGACAACATTTTGGAGATTTAAGTCATAATACATGATCATTCATACAAGGAACAGTGCTCGTTGTTATATTCCTACCAAGCAAAGCATTTCTAATCTTCTGCTAATACAAAGTATCCCAAAGAACATGGTGCTAAATTCAGCTGCCCTGAGATTTACTTCATGTCACATCTTACAGTGACAATGAAATTGGAAAATGGAATTGTGTATGTGTATTGAAAAATGAAAATAGGTCTTCCATCTTGGCAGAGAAGCCTTAAATGAACTTTCTGAAAAAAAGAATGTGTAGTCTTTTCATAGAATGGAGCATCACAAAAGTACTTATGCCAATATTACCATACCTAGATATTAATATAGCTGTGCCTTATTGAAATAACAAGCATGGAGTACTTAGCATAAAGGAAAAGCATTTCAGCAAAATGAGAGCAGACAGGAGTTTTTTCTTCAGTTTCTGACTGTACCTGTTAAATGTGCAATAGTAGAAATTTATTCTTTGGTCTTCTCATTTCTTAATTTCTCTGATTATAAAAAGTAAATATTTTAAACAGTGACAGCCAAGTGTTACTTCCTTTTTTTCTCTGCAAAATGATTTATTATACTGTCTACTCATTTAAATTAACTATATAAATAATGCTTTCAAATAAAGGTATCACAGTTGATTAAAAAAATCACCCCGAAGATTGCAGTTGCTTTGGAGATTGATTCCTGTTTGTCTGAGTCAGAAAGAATTTTGAACGAACACCTGGAACTGGCTAATCAAATAAAGGTAAAAAAACAAACAAACAAAAACCCACAATAATGTTAATTAGTCTTAAAGACAAATGCATACTGTATGTACTTCTAAGTAGGGTGAGGGCCTGAACATTTTCTTGTATATTCTTGGAAAGAAAATAGGTCTATAGTTCTGTTTAAACACACAGATAACGTTGCAAGTGAGTCCTTGCCCATGTTGTCTCTTCATCTCTTGTTGTTTGTTTCTGCGTCAAGACTCTAATGCTGATAGGATCCAAGTGTCACTACCTCAAGATCCTAGTGTCAGCCCTTGAAAGAACAGCTCCAGATGTATATTCCTGCTCCCTCCTGAGGCACAAAATTTAAATATCGTGTATATAGAGGCACAGTAAACTATTCCTTTGTATTGTGGTGGTTGTGCCAAATAAAGGAGATGAATAAGGAAAAAAAAAAAGGGGGGGGGGGGGAGGAGGGGATTTTCCTCCTGAAAAAGTAGTTGCCAGGTAGAGGAACAGCAAAGAGGGCTGTAAAGCTACCATCTGATGTATCCATTGGTCATGTAGGGAATGCAGGCACTACATGAAAGCACTGCAGTACTCAGATCTGTACAAAGATAAGTTTGTTTTCAAGTTACATCTAGGGCCTTTCCAGTTCCTCTAGCAATGCTGCAGTATCTAGAAGTGGGTTAAAGCCACTCCACATTTCGTTCCCTCTGTGCTCTTGACAAAGGTGCTTTTATTGTGGTTAAGCTGAACAGCATTGCGGTGTATATTTTAGCTGTATCCCATGTTTTAGGAGCTCTTAAAAAACGCGTTACTCCTATGGAGGTGTCTTTTGTTTCAGGCAACTTTTCAGTAGATCAGCAAGAGCCCATTTTTGTAGCACATGACGGTATAATAGTTTTTACTGTCTTTGTCAAATTGTTATTTGGAGGTAAGTCTAGGGTATTATCTCTTTTGCAGTGTACTATCTGCCTTGACAGCAGTAACCCATCACCTACCTATTCCTTCTATGGATTGTGATATGCTAGAGTTTGTGCACTTGGCTGAGTGACAGAAACAGATATGCTAAGTGGTTTGAGTTAAATATATAGAAGTAGATAAGCAAATCATTATAGATATGCAGTGATTCTTATTATCAAGAGGTGAGACAACATTGTTAAAGGATCTTACAAGACAGTGTCTTACAATTTATGAGGTAATAATTCTGTAAAAATCTATTTTAAATAGGTATTGAATATCTTGGTTTCCGAAGTGATTTCCTGTTTCCCAGTTTTCTCATGTTTGACTGAAACCTGTTTACTTTGGCCTAAGCTGGATGTCATTCTTTCTTTATGTTCTTCATACGCAGTTGAGAACAAATGTTTTCTAGAAGTTCTATTTTGGTGTACGATTTCAAGGTAATGTTCAATAAGGGAAAATGTACATGTGCTTTATGTATGGTTAGGTTAGTATGATGCAATGGAAAAAGTTGCAAGTAAAATGAAGCCTTCATTCCTTGAATGAAGCTATGAGTTAAAACAAAGCAGCTGAAAACTATAATCCCAGCTGAACCATGGAAAATATTAGTAATTCCCAGTGTATCTGCATGACCACATACTGTGACTTTCTTCCGGGTTTGAGCAGTTGATGCTGTACAGATATGACCTACTTTTTGATCCCAATCTGATTTCAACAGGTTTGCCCCATGCAAGAAAATGTAGCTTGGCAGGTAAGGACTAATCTGGAGCAAGGAAACAATTATTGATTCAACAGTGAAATCAGGGGTGGAAGTCAATTAATAAACCAAAGGGCTACAGGGACAGACCTTGAAACAATTACAGCAGTAGACTTCTGAAGACCCATAGTCACACTCTAGAGTGTGATTAGAGAAAGAGGAGAAAAAAAAAAAAAGGAATGAGTTAGAAACATCTAAGGGGCATTTAGCCATAAGGAATCAGTTCAGATGATTGGGCTGTGTACCATTTATTCAAGGTAGCATATCAATTCTGGATGGCTGTGTTCGCATATTCTTGCACTGTGAAGTGGTTTACTTGATCTGAATATGGAGATTCCTATTTTTTGTCCATTTAAAATGGCTATTTTGATAACTAAATGGATAGTTTTTAGGTTTAAAATGTTGCAGGAAAGAAATGGTGTATTTCAGCACACAATGGACGTTACGAGCTCTTCAAATAAGTAATTGAATTATACAGAATAAAGTAATACTACTGAGAATTACAAATGTGTTATCAATATTCACAAGTTCATTGTGGTCATTATACATTTTGTTCTGTGTTTATGCCCTAAAAGGAAGCTTCACATGAACTGGAAGCAGCTAATGGAATCATCAAAGATATAGAAGAGTTTGAACCCAAGCAAATGGCAGCTTTTTCTAGCAAAACTGACTTTCTGAATGAAGAACTGAAAAAAATTGAAAGAAATATTAATTCAAAACTGGAAATCCTAACAACTTATGTGAACTTTTTAAAGTCAACAGTGGAGGTACAGATTTTTTACCTATTCTCTGACTAAGCAGTGCAAAAATCTTAGAAGGGAAAACATGTTTTAATTAGCTAAGACAAGTATCCTGTATACCATGAGATCCTCTATGAGAAGTATGCCTTGGAAGCTCCAAAAGTCTTGGTAAGCTTCTTTCTGCATTAAAGGAGAACTGTTCCATCAGGACAAACAGCCCTGATCATTGAACTTGCATCACCATAATGATTAGCCTACGTACAGATTTTCTACTGATCTATATCACCATAATAAGAAGTAATATCACTGGATTTTTGCTTTTCTCTTGTGTGTGTGTTCTCTCTTGTTCTCTCATTCTACATATAATAAAAATGCTTACATGTATGTACTCTGGCTTATAAATTTACCGGTTTTGTTTCATATATTTAAAAAAATATTTCTCATAACATATTTCTGCAATATGTTGATATGGATATTTATCACAGTCTTGCACTTCCACTGAAGGACTGATATTTCTGAATGGACTTAAAAATGAAATATAAACTAGTTCTAGCTGAGATCATAATCCATTAATACCATTAAAATTTTATCTGTGCTAATGATGCCCAGCGAAATTATTTTTCATTTTGATGTAATGTTTGTTTTAATATTTTACAGCACTGTTCTTGTTCTTTTATATCTATAAAGAAATTGATGATGGAATGGAACCTATCAGATAAAATTAGGCATAAGATTTATTTGGTACCTTGAGTTTAAAAAAAGTCAAAAAATTGGATCACATCTACTTCTGATTCTTTCTAATACCATTTACTTGATATTAAACAGATCTGTGAAAATAATTGCATGGGTATCATGTTATATAATATTTATGTAATGATATGTGACAAATTGAATTAATTACTGTTCTCTGCTTGCCATCTACTGGTATACAGGTTATTTGAAACATTGTTTATTGTTTAGTGTTTGTATAGGTCTTAGGGAGGAAGATAGATTTAAAAACCTGTAAAAGATTCAGTATAACATTAATTTTACCTTCAATTTTATAATGTCTATATACCTTCTGATTATAGCTATTCATTTTTTTTAATGTTTATTTTATATCTTTCATAGGTGAATGACCATATTCAAAATCTGAAGGATTTTTTTCAAGCAGAACCACTACAAACAAGCAGAGAGGTTGAAAATAGAAGTGCAATAGAGTCAGCTAATACCAAGTGGCAAAAGACTATAAAGATGATTTTTTCCACTGAAAATTTGGGTCACAATTTCCTTAATTTAGCAAGTATGGTGAGTTTTTTTTTCATGGAGTTATCACTTTTCTCAAGGAACAAACTGAAATGATGACAGATAGGTGTAGTGGTTCTGCTACCCTTCATCAAAGAACTTGTCTAAGGCAAAGTGTATTTGTTCTTTGTTTCAGTAAGGAGGGTAGGGAGTTGAGAAGATAAAATGACTGTGATGTTTCTATGGAATCACAGTTAAAACAGAATAATTCTGTAAATTTCGCATTCCTAGTTCATGAGAAATTTTTCAGAATGAGAAACTTAATATCCATACTTTCACAGTATGGAGTTGTTAAAAAAAAAAAAAACACTTTGATTTGAAAATGTCAAAATGTTTACAAAATCAAAGTGAGGTAAAGTTTTAACCTGAAATAAGGTGATCAAACATTTTATACCACCATTTATACACAAGTATGTATAATATATGGCATGACTTTGCAGGTAGAACTTATCTCCCAAAGTTCTGAAGTATAAATTTCTCTTGCTCTGCACAGAATTGTTAGCTGTATCATGGTATTATTCACTGTTCTTTTGCATTTATGAAGTGCCCTTTGCAGGCTTGGTACTTACAGAAAGGGCAAAAATGTGGAGATGTAGACCAGGAAGCCAAGTTGTAAGTCTGAATAAGCCAATCCTATGCAGTTTAGGCAACAAAGGTTATACAGCTAGCAATGCTATTTGTTTTGATGCTGAAAACCTGAAATTTCACTGAAATCAGAGCCTGCAAATTTTTTGTAATGGAAATTTGCCTTTTGTTAGTATTAGCTGCACTGTACAAAATCTGTATAGATAAACGACCCCTGTGTAGAAATTCTGCAGCAAATGGTCAAATGCATGGGTTAATTGAGCATCCTATCCTGGTTGATGTGTAGGAAAGCTCATATTAAAAGTGTAAAAATCAAAGGAAGAATTCTGGAGGTTTTCATCAAGAAAATCTGCTGTGTGCCTTTTCGCTAGCAGGAGAGAATTGGCTTCTTGTTTTCTGTGTAAATTATCATAATCTGATAAACTGTAATGAGTATTTGATGTTTGCCTGTGATGAGGTTTAATCCTAATTCTGTGGCTGATGGTTTGTGACTTCTCCAGTACCTGTCCTTAAAGGGAGTAATTCTGCTATATATTTGTAAGATATGAAAGTGTAAGTGCTAATGGCATTATAACTAATATAAAAAAAAAAATCTTGATTGGCAATGAAGTAATCCTTAATAAGTGACCCTGTACATACACATAAATATAATCCATGGACATATCAATTTTGCTCATATTGGAAAGAAGCATATATGTAAGTGCAGGATTTGGTTTATTTTACTTCCACTGAGAGTTATTCTTTACCAATGTAGTGTATGAAGTTCTAAGAAAATGGATGCTAGAGCTGCTTCCTTATAGATAATCTTTCCTGGTGTTACATTCTTTCTTGGGCTCAGCTGGATTGCCTGGGCATCCTTATCTAATTTTCCAACACCTCTTCATGATTGATTGGTTGAGATTTGCATACAATCATTCCCTAAACCATGCCTCCTGAACTGATTTCAGTTAATGTGGATAGCTTAGATACCCAGCTGTTATTTCTGTTTTCATTGGAGACATTAGAGAGCAATTACAATGAGCTGAGAGGGTGAGAAGGGGGAGATGGTCATGATAACATACAGGAGCAAGTAAGATGAGCTGGAAAAACCTACTCAGGGAAGGTATTCAGGCAGTTAGTGTGGGCTAAAGTGTGTGCTGTCACAACTGGATACAGGCAGGCACAGATAGTGTAAAGTCAAGCTGAATATGTCTCAATGTGCCACTTAAAATCTAAATGTGTATTCGGATGTTTTCTCTCTAAAGACCTTGAAGTGTGTTACCACCACAGAAAATACTGCTACTCTCTTCTCATGATACTCTTAGGTTGTAGATTTAAGTGTCTGGAAGGATACAGATCATACTAGTAATCTACAAACACTTTTCTTAAAAGAGAAACTCTGAAATGAGAAAAGCAGAAAGGGCATTACTAGATTTCCTACAGTGTTTCTGATATATGCTGTGCTAAAAAGAGGAAAACTCACCAATATTCAAATGCTGAACATGTTATCTCTCCCATGCTCCAGCGCTGCTTTGGTTATCAGCACAGAGTGGTCTGTTCTTCATACCCTTCACTTTCCAGCTGCTACTCCCCAGAAGTAGGTTTTTGGGTAGTTCTGTGTATTCAGAAATTATTTAAAGACACCTGGAGTATCAGAAATTTTCAATGAAAGTATTCTAGAATAATTGCTTTTTATTAAGTTCTGTTGGGACTTTAATGATTTTTTATTGTATTTTTTTGTTTAATTCAAATGTGGGAAAATGTGTGTTTATTTTCCAGGCAAATGAGAGCTTAATATTGAAAGCAGAAAATAGTGTACAAGTAACAGAAGATACCATTATTAATCTGAGTAAAGGAAAGAAAGAGCTGACCGATCTTTGGGCAGTCTGGAATTTTAAAATTAATCAAGTAAAACCTATCAAGCAACAGTGCTTGATATTTGAAGAACAACTAACTAAGGTAAGTAAAAAAGCAAGAAAACAACTGCGACAAGCATTTCTAGATTGTTACTGGTTTGTCTGTGACTCTCTCATCAACTGTTATAGGTATCATTTAAGAAAGAGAAATCATCAGTAAGATAATTCTCCATAGTCTATTCCACCACACAGTCACTGAAGCACGAACAGTTTTTGATTTTTTTTTTTGCCTTTATTCAAATACATACAAGTACTCATTTCAAATTTTCAGTTTTAGTCAGTTTTCTGTACTATAGCAAAAGTGCTTTTTTATATGTTTTTCCTTTTTTTTTGTAGCAACATCTTGTTCTAATTTAAGTTACCAAATTAATCTGTGTCCTATTAGTTACTGAAGTCAAGTCCAACAACCTCTATGGCAGATGTGCAGTGTGCAGTGTTCCTTAAAAGCAATGCTAGCTGTGTTAGTAGCAGAACCAGAGGCTTATGGGCACTGTGTCCAGTGTGACTTAACACTAAACCACCACAACCACCACCACATCATCTGTTTTCACAAAGAATGCACTGTGTGCATGGGTCCTCCCATCTCAGTGTGTGAATCATTTTTGTGCACTATCAAGATCTCTTGTCACCCTTTTCAAAGTCAGAGGGTTTGAGGCAGAGGTTTATAGCTGGGGAAAAAAAAAGTTAGACTACATTAAAAATACAACAATCAACTTCAGAATATCCTCCTCATTATCCCTCCCCCCCCCCCCTTTTCCTCCTAAACTGTTTAAGGAAATTTACTGACAGCTTTTATATCTGGCTTGGGAAAGGTTCTTGTTACAAATTTAGATTGGGTTTAACTATTTTTTTATTTACTAAAGAAATACTGAAATGTCTGATTATCTTTTAGACTACTCATGGGCTAAAGATTCTTCAAGAGGCTCTTAGGCTTATATCAACAATTGATCTTGGAAGTGACCTTTGTATTGGCTTAGAACTGCAAAAGCTTAACAAAATGAAACCACAGTTTCAGGTGAGAAACTGGAATAGTGGAGTGTATGGTGGGTCAAAACCTTTTCTTTTTTTTTTTTTCTTTTTTTTTAAATCTCGAGTAAATAATAACTCACATTGCTTTTAGACAGTGCCTGGGGTCTGTTCTACACTGTATATTGATTTTCCAGAAGGCAGGTTTTGTCTGTGTTGATGAGATAAGGGAGAAGATGTTTTACCTTCAGCATCCACAGAATATCTTGTGGAATGCTAACTGTGTATTGAAGTGACGCACAGGCATTGTAGGTGAGGAGAGTACAAGGAGATCATCAGCTTTACTCTTTGGAGTCAGAGATGGTCAGAGGCTGAGGTATATCATACTGAGTGTCCTGCATCCTCTGAATACTGTTACTAAGTTTTAGCAAGTAGGACAGTCTCTTGTTCCCCTAAGCATCAGAGCTTGACACTATTGTTTTGATTAAGGACTGTATCTGGGTAATAGTTGATAATTCAACCTAGCAAAAGAGTAAAGAATATGGAGAGTGTTTTAAAGAGGCATTTATTTTTCCCTAAGATCATTTACTTTTCATAGGTTGTTTTATTTCATAAAATGTAAGGGAAATCGTGGAAACATATTTCTGTAATTTCTGCTCCTTTTTGCTAGCAACTGAATGCTGAAATGGAGTACATGATAAAAGTATTAGAATCGCCAAGTCAGAAAGGATTTCCTGTGAAAGAGAATTCTGAGAGAATGAGTGAGCTTATACATCTATATCAAATGGTAAAGAACACGATGACAGAATATGATGAAATTTTCAACAAAACAGTTAAATTCCATCACGTTAAAAAAGAAGTGAGTATAATCTTTTAAAATTCATCTTCCTTTTGTAGCCAGCCTCTTTTTTTATGTTGGTGTCTGTCATCTTTCCTTTTTCACCCAAATAAACAACATTCCCCTGCCTGGTGATCAGAAATTTTGGATCTAAAACTGCATGAAATTTGGAGAATTTAAAATAAAAATCTGAAATTTAATTACTCAAAATTTAGGTTAACAAGTTATGAATATGAAAGGAATAGTAAGCTTCCGCTCACATTCAAAACACACGCTGATTTTCAGTTTAATATATTGTAGCTGGAATGTCTATCAAAATCAGGAGAACTGGGTATTCCTGAAATAACTGAGGGCCCTGAAGATGTGCACCATGCTAAAGCCTACCTTTTGAATGCTCAGAAGAAACATGCGCATATCAGACAGCTTTATAAACTGTTTATTACCCGGGGAGTGGATATCTTGTCTGCAGTGCAGCAAACTGTGAGTAAAATTAGAATGATCTGTGAAAACAGGGATAAATATGAAATAAGATTATAGAGCTATCTTACTGGCTTTTAAATGTACAAAAATGTATTAATACAGTGAAAAAAATAAATACAGAGCTTTGAGAATACTTTCAAAAGAAAACAAAACATAGAATCCATAGTAGTTAATAATTTGAAGATTTATGCTTTTAGAGTTTGCTGATATACAGCCAACAAATTAAACAAAACATCTCGGAATTATATTTATTCTTCATTAGTTACTCTCACATTATAAACTGGTTTTGCTAAGAAGAAAAAAAAATGGCATTTTTCAAACCTTGTTTTAATTTTTTAATGATCTAATGAACAGATCTTACATTGGAAAGCCTCAAAATAGGTTTGAGATCAGGAGGAAATTTTAAAAATATAAGCATTGGGGCAGGGAGAGAGAAAGCACGACTTTCTGTTCTCTAGTAATTTTTGTGCAGGTCAAGGCCCTGTTGGTTGTTTCTTGAATGCCACACCTATGTATGAGACTCCTGATACTTTTTAAAGGTTATTTTGCATATTTATTCTCCTATTAGCAAAGGATAACAAAAGAACAAAAAGGAAATATAACGCATTACCTTATTAGTGGATTCCAGACTTGCTTGTATTGTGAAATGGATATAATTTAGAAAGGAGTTATATATTTAGGGCAGGATCGTTATTGCTCTGTATTCATTTACTATGCAGAAAACAAGACATTCCCTTCTGACCTGCTTAGGTTATCCATATTGCCAGCCTGTTCTTCATGCTCCATGGCCTGGTTGGCAGCAGAAATGAGCTAACATCCAAATGATAAAGACTTAGAGTATTCTCATTTCTCTCGGCTCAGAGAAGATACCATATGTGAGTTGTGATTTCGTTTCCTGGAAATAACCCCCCAGAATACCAGTGAATGAAATGCCTGTGTACTTGCTTTTGTTACAGGGGAGGTATAATAGTTTAATCTAACCCATTGTTACTATTTATGCATGCTTTGCCTCAAAACAATTTCCATTTTAGATTGATTGAATTAGTGTATGCCCTGAATTTCATTTGTTCTTTTTCAGAATTGCTTGAATGTTTCTGTAAAGAATCTGAAGCAAGAACTTGCTAGACTTGAGTGCGACAGCATTAACTGGAGTTCCAAAGCAGATAAATATGAGGAAGAACTGTCACAGCATTTCCAATACTGTACCAATCAAGAGGAGATAAATGAGGTAAATGATATAAATACACATTAAAAAGGCTATTGTATTCTATATGTATATATTACATATATATACATTACTGTTTACTGTTACAGGCTCTGGCAGCTTCATCTGAAATGTAAGGATCTTCAGATGTCTTCCTTCTAAAGTTTGAAACAAAAGTAGAATTTACATCTCTTGCAGTTGTTAAGGCTGTTTCTTGTACTATTAAGAAGTTTCAGTCTTTTAATGAGTTCACAATAATTTACTGCTTGACGTTTTGTCAGAAATCCAAGATGTGATGCTCAGAAAAATTGTTAGAGGAGAAATTTCCATGACATAATATTTTTTTATTATTTATTTATTATTTATAGAACATAGAACATAGAATATAGAATAAATTTATAGAATTTATTATTGTAGAACATAGATTAGGAAAAAATGCTTAGTTAATATGATCATTAATTTAACATCTTAGTAGGCCAAATATAAATCCACTCACAACTTAGCAAGTAAAATGTAAAGACATTTATCTGCAAAAATCAGTTCAGGAGAAATATCCTATAGAATTAATCTTCCTAAAGTGATCTATTAAAATGAGAGGTTGAAGGCATTAGCAACTGCACTTGATGTTCTGTAGATGGCACGTCTGGGCGTCCAAAAAGTACAGAAACTCTTATCTGGAGATTCTTACCTGGAAAGATTTCATAGAATCATTTCATAGAATCATAGAATTATTCAGGTTGGAAAAGACCTCTAAGGTCATCTAGTCCAACTTTTAACGTCGTGCTGAAGTCCACCACTGAATTTCACACTAATGTTCCCAGAAGTGTGAAACATATGTAGAAGATACACAGGAGGTGGTGTTTTTTGGAAACAAAGGCATTGAAAGTTGTTTTTTCTTACTTTATCTTTCAGCAAGTAAATCCATACCTGAATAAAGCAAGACTATATTTTCTCAGAATCACCAACAATGAGGTGACTGAGATTTCTATCCCAATTATTTTAGTGAGAAAAATGTTTTTATTTTCTTTTACAAAACGTTTGTGAAAAAAATGTAAAAGGTGAGAGAACATATGCAACGATATATATATTATACGATTACGTATCGATTAAATATATATATTTAATCTCAGTGGCTGTTCTACTCCATTGTCAGTTATAATCTGAACGTGTTGCACCCTGTGATGATCTGTGCTTCAGTCTCCTGTGATGTAAATTCTTGGGTGATGGTATAAGGTGAATGTCAGGTGATAAAGTAGAAGCACTCAGGCTGAGGAGCCATGCTGTAGAAATGAATGGAAGCATGAATTACCTAAAAAATAGGTCCCATTATGCTTTGCAGTGACAGAGCAGATTGAGAATATTTGAAATTTGAATTTAACTATTCTCATTTTGTTGTTGTTGTTGTTGTTTTTTGTATAGGTTAATAGGCTGTATAGGTTAATACATGTTACATCCAGACCTACATGAATGTTGAGTGTAATCTAACAGAAATACAACTTGCCCTGTGAATATCTTTTTATGTAATTATATTCCATTTCTACTGAAAGTTAGCATAGAAGATATTTCCTAAACAAAGCTAAGCTAGTATACCTGTATATACTTTAATCTGCTGCTATTATGCTTCATTTTTCATTAATTATTTATAACTAAGTCTGTTTAGAGATAAAGAGCAAAGACATTGCAACAAACTAAAAGTTATGCGTATTCACTTAATTTATATTGTTAATTTTAACATCAGAAGTTAGCCTGAATATTGCTAGTATCTGATAGAATTATTTAAAATAATTATTTCTTTACCCTCTACTACATCGAAGAAAATAAATATTTCATTTTATGTGCCAGCAGCAAGCAGCAGCTGCTCATAGCTGTCACAGAGTAAACAGACAGCCAGATAACTTAGTTGTGATTTACCAGTATACAGAAACTTTAAAATTGACAGAAAATATTTAAAATTGTGATGTAAATATATAAATTCACATACATTTAATGTGTTGAATTTCAGTACATCCAAATAAGACATTTGGCGATTGGGACTCACCGGTGTTTGAAAATACCATACTTAAGTCAGACTACTTTACTAGCTCTGTGTGTTTGTAACATATTAGTACTTTCATGAGAAACACAGAAACAAAAAAAATTATAGCATAGGATATATAGAGTTGATTTAAAAAAAGTCTAGGAGGACAGAACAGTAAAATGTACATCTTTTGTGTGCTTTTGCTAACTTAAAGAAAATTTATAAAGGCCAAAAATGGATTTATGCCTTCTACATCCTGGTAAATATAAAGAAAGCTCGTATGACCTTTGAGATCTGCATTTGTAAATTTGGGCTTCCTGCTTCACTAACTAGCTTGAGTAGCAGCCTCTGAAGAGCCACAACTCTACACAACATTACACAGCAATGATTGGTGAAAAAGATGAATCAAGCATGTAGTTTAATACTGCATTGAATCTGCTAATAAGATTAACAGTTTCTTATAACCCTTTTATAACATCTTATAACCTTTTAATACGGTAACCCTCAAACTTCAAAACCCTTTTCACAAAAAACATTTATGTGTGGCTGCACAAAACTTGTAACAGAAGAGTGACGGATCCTGAAATAGGTTCTCTGCTCTCCCCAGCCATCTCAATTTTTTCCTTTCCACTTCTTTATAAACTTATGGAAAGGTATGACTGAAGATATGAATTTTAACCATGGAGAGTAGTAAGCTATCTTAGTTCATTAGGCAGTAGGAGCTGATATTTCTTAGAGTAGTTCACCACTTGTAATTTATAAATGCTTGTGGTCCCAGAATTAAATAGACATTAATTAGACTTAATTAGACTTGAACAGCACTTTTTTTCTTACTTTCCACCTCCTGGCTGGCTTTACTTCAGCCTGTTAATCTTTGCCGTGTTGAAAATCTGTTTTTAGCAACTTACTTTCATGGGCTATTTTGATTCCTAGTGCTATTAAAAGTTCTGTGTGTAAATAAAAAGGGAAGAATAACTGGTTAATGACAGTGAAATACCTTCTGGAAAGACTTACACAGAAATCAAAATGTTTTAGTGGAATTTTACTATTAACGAAAATGAAAACATTTAAAGCAGTTTTATAGCTTGCTTTTTCATTTATTTCATGATCGTGTGATAAATCTTAGCAATTGGCATCTAAACCCCTCTCCACCCGTGTTAGTCCAACTATAGTTAGGAACAGCTGCTGGATTAATGACTATGACACAATGGAGAAGTCACAAAGTTCCATTAAACTTGGCTGAAGTCACTGAAGCATATTAGTATGTATATAGACTTAAGTTACTCTCATTGTATTTTTCAGGAAATAGTGAAAAATTAAGATATGATCAGGTTTCTGTTTTCTAAAAATTGAGCTATATCGCCTTGGTACAGTTGCCGCTGTTAACAGGCATTAGGTACACGCACTCAGAGGATAATATACAAGTCTGAGCTGAAACTGGTTTTCCACTGAGGCTAAAAGAGAAAAGTGACAGCAGCTGCAGACCTTTGACACATGAGCTATCATATCTGAAACAAGGCGATCTGATTTCACATACTTCTTTGAGGAGAGCTTCTGTCCTTATAACCAGTCGCTAGCTTATGTATGTGCTTAAGCCAGTGAATAATCTAAAATAAACTCTCACTCATCTCTTGTTTTCCTCAAAATTAAATCAGCAAATAAGGCATTTGTGCTCTGAATACAAAATACTGTTCTATAGAGGTGGTTTTATTAACAGATTACTGTTAGGTAGATTTTATTATTCTGCATACTTAGGTGGGATAAAGAGTTTAAACGAATTGGAGACCACAGTGTAGGTGATAGAATTCCCTTCCTTTCCATTACACTGAGTGAATACCATCTGTCTGTTCAGTGCTGAAATAATATGAGAGAATCCCACTAGATGAAATGAAAATGAAAAGAATATCCCTTGATGGATTAACATTAGTATGTAATGATAATGATGAATTGCTAGCTCTCCCAATAACAGCAACTGCAAAATGAGCATTCATTACTCTCTGGAGGGGGGGAAAAGGAGGGTAGGGGAAGAGAGATCTTTATATTGTGCTTCAAATATTTTAACTAAATATCAAATTGTGGGTGTCACCTAAACTTTTTAACATTAATCAAGTAAGTGAAGTTATTTTAATTAATTTTTATCTGGAAGAAAAAATCCTAAAGTAATAGAACTGCTGCATTTCTTTTATATTGGTTCCTTTGGATAAATACCACTTTACAGAGTTTATTCTACGTTCTTCTAAATGCAAAAGATTGTCAATCTGAAAGAAGTGAAAATCTCAAAAAACAAACAAACAAAACCAAACAAACAAAAAAACGAAAAACAACTTTCAGTCCTTTTTATATTCTTCCATTTCAAATGCTATAAATTAACACTTCCAAATTTTTTGTAATTATGGAATTGAAAAGTAATTAAAATAGTACCTTTTCTAAGGTATCAGCACCATATTTTAAGCAGGTATGTTTTTTTTTGCTGTTTGTTTTGTCTGGTTCTTTTCCTTGCTCATTAAAGGCATTTAAAAATAACTGTAATATATAAAAATGCATTTTACAGACGTAAATGAAATTAAAATTATATAACTTCTAAAGAAAAATAATTCTGAAAAAAAACTTTTATACTTAAAGATATGTATGTATAGTGCTATAAAGATATTTTACCTGAGTATGTTTGATATCGTTCTTTGTAGATCATTACTAATACATAGAATAAGATATGGTTGTATGGTTTATTAAGTGTATATGGTGTACACACCCATACAATGACAATTAAGCAAACAGATACTTAGAGTTTGGAGAAAAAAAAAAAAAAAAGGAAATAAAAGAAAATGCAAATATGCTGTGTGTTATGGTAAAGAAATAGAGTTAAAGCTCCCATGGTAAATAATACTGTCTTTACAAGTACTGATCGTGTATAACCCTTCTTTTTGGTGTGTTTTAAAATAATCCTGGTAAATTGTCTAGCAAAGAAAGTGTAGTTTCCTAGAACTTCATCAGTATTATTTCTATCAATCTGAATTTTTAAAATATTTCATAGATTGAAGAAAATATAGAAAACAGAAAAGTTCTTCAGAAAAAATAGCAGAACTATATGTAATATTAATTATCTCATAGACTTATAGAATGGTTTGGGTTGGAAGGGACCTTAAAGATCATTTAATTCCAACCCCCCTGCCATGGGCAAGGATAGCTCCCACTAGATCAGGTTACTCAAAACCCCATCCAACCTGGTCTTAAACACTCCTAGGGGTGGGGCATCCACAGTTTCTCTGAGGAAGTCTCAGCTGATAGGTCCCCCTGAAAAGTCTAGAAAGGCACTAGTAGTTCATTATCAGAGCTACTAGTTCATAATTTATATTATTACAGTAATCATTTCCACTTATGTTGAATTTGCTTTACCAAGCCAGTGCTAACTGGTAAAAATACTGTCATAGTACCATGTTTATGTAGTGGTAATAGATTTTATTTGGGTGTCTGTTAGGTGGAGTCACTCTGCTACCATACGGAACAGTTACTTAAAATGTAGGTGCTCATATAATCTACATTCTGATTCTGCAAAGAACCAGATTCATCTTTGTATGCTGTGAATAATTGTGCTGAAATGTTTGGACATTGTAAAATTGAGCACCTGTGTAACCTCTTCAGAAGCAAGGTTTCCAGTCTTATTCATTGCTAATAACTGTTATTTATTTCCATCTTATTTCCCCACAAATTTTATTACATATTTGTCCATAGTTGCTGTAGTATAAGGATTATAGAATCACTGAACAATTTATTTTGGGAGAGACTTCATCTAGTCTTTAAATAAGTCCTAATAAATATATCAACTTTTCTGACTACTGAATATTAGTTCCCAGTATAGTGATAAATTCCTATTTGGGGAAAAAGAAAAAAAAAAAAAAGACATAAATGAAATATTGTACTGCAGGAGAAAGATACTATTTGTAAATACAAATATACTTGCCCAAACCCAGTAAAATGATATTTTTCTGCAAACTAAATGTGTGTATACATTTACACAGCTACCATTTCCACCAAATGTACTACTGTTTGTATAAGTCACCTGTCTGTAGTTGAAGTCATTGAAAGCTCTAGAACAGGATTGTCTGAGCAAGGATCTCAACCTTTGAGTCAAACCTTTTTAACTCAGACAGTCTGGAAACAATACTCAGTAGTCAGACTGCAAAAATTTTGATGTAGCAAGATTGAGTTTCCACTACTAGAAAAAAAATCTGAGGAAATAAGGATGTTTTATGAGATGGCACAGTGTTAATAATTTCTGTATTAAATTCTCAGTGTTCAGATTGTGGACAAGAAGCTCATGGAAAAAATACATGGAAGTGTGCTGATTTCTTTTTTTACTGACAAATATGCTTACTTTTTCAGCTCAGAGAATCATTTAAGGATCTCAAAAAGAAATTCAACAATTTGAAGTTTAACTATACCAAGAAAACTGAAAAAGCTCGAAATTTGAAATCCCTTAAAATACATATTCAGCAAGTTGATACATATGCTGATAAAATACAGGTAATACTAGAAATATCAGTCTTGATAAAGGCTTGACTGGTTGAATTGAAATGGCTTGTGCTCTGCAGTAAGAGATAACACAAAATGTATTGAGTTTCCCTTTCACTGTTTGGTATCATCCCCCTGTCTCAGTCACTGACATATTTCATTGTTCTGTTCCTTTAATTCTTCAGTATAATGATCTCATCCCAATTGCTAACTTCCTAAAGTTCAGTCCTTTTAAATCCTGTTTATCCTGTTGTTTTTTTCTGCATAAGTTTTTATTCTTCCTGCCTCTGTTCCATCACAGTGTGTGACCTCGTTTTCCTTCTCCTTAAAATAAATAACCAAATCATACATCCTATCAAAATTCTGAACAAATTAGCACATTCCCTTTTGTATCCGTTTTCCTTTCTCATTTCATCATGTAAACTTTCAGAGCCCTTCTCTGAATCCATTGCCTAGAGTTGATCATGCTTATGGCACCTAAGAGCCCTTCTCACTGGAAACTCCTCTTCCAAATCCTCCAGTGACCATTTTAGTAACCAAATTATCCTTTTAGTATCCGGAGCTAGCACTGCCAGTGTCCTCCTTCATAGTTTTTCTCAAGGTTTCAGTAGCTTCTATGATTCTATTCTTGCTATTTATTTTGTTATTACTTTTAAAAACTTTTCTTTCTCCTTTCTTGGTGATTTTATCTACAAATGTAAATTCAGATCACAGAATCAGTGGGGTTGAAATGGACTTCTGGAGATCATTTAGTCCAAACTCCTTGGACAGAACAGGATCAACCACAGCACATTGCTCTGTATAATGTCCAATATCAGATTCTTGTGCAATATGCTAATATTGTGGGGCAAAAAATGACTTGGTTTAAATTGACTTGTATTCAGTTGAAGTAAGTCTGAAGGATTCGTAATATTTTTTTTTTTTTTACTTTGCAGATTCAGTCAGTGTTATTTTATTCAAGATCCCATGTTTTATTACCAGAGATATTTGTCTATAAACTGAAAATTCAATTCAATTCCATATTTAACAAATAATTATATTGATTTCAATCACATTGTAGATTTGCTTTGCTTTTGGAAATGCACATTATACTTGTCATTTTAAAACTTGGAAAGAGAATTAGATTTGTATATTTTTCGTACTCTTTTAACTTATTTCTAAAAATAGAAATATTTTTTTGTGGTGTTTAACATTGCTACATCTTTAAACAGGTTCTTAAAAAGAAGATGGATAATTTAGAGAAGAAATTCATTGACTCTGCAGGAAATGATGGTAGAGTCCTCTTGGGGTCAATTAGTGAGTTACAAAAACAGCTGAGTGACTTTGGCAGAGTTGTGGAGGATTACAGTCAAAATCTGAATCTCATGGAACAACTGCAACAGATAATGGAAGAGGTACTAGTAAACCTGACATCCTCACTATGGCTGTAATAGCGATCCAGGACTGGGGTAAATAAGTACTTATAAATACAGGTAGAATTTGTGACTTCCAAAGGTTTGGAAAGTTCCAAAGTATTGCTAAAAATCTAGATTTTCTTTTTTTTTTTTTTTTTTGTAACTTTGTAGAAAAAAAGGAAAAACATGTAACTTGACTATATTCTTGCACTGCTGCGCATAAGACCAGGTTGTGGTCTTAGCTGTGATCATACTTTTGAGCTCATTTACTGTAGGTGTATTGTGGGGCATTCTTTGATAGCAGCCAAATGACAAGAGACAGGTTATCACAATATCCAGTTGTCAGGAAGAGCTGTCTGTGAAGTGTGCAATTTTGGAATTGAAATTTAAAATATTCAATCAATTAACAAAAATGTAAAATGTTCAAAATCTTAACACCCTTTTTTTTTAATACTCATGCTTGGTAAACATATATTTATTTATTTATTTATTTTTGACATGTAGCACAGTCTAAGTCTTTGAGGGGAATTCTCTAACTTAATATTGCCATATATTTTTTTAAAGTTTGTAACAGCATTTTCCCTTGCACCACACTGCATTGGTGCATCTGTTGTGAGTCGAGCACATTCCTGTCATCACTGTTTATATTTAGAAATAACACTGGTCAAATCTCCAAATTCATCAAAATGGCTGATGAATAAAATCCCTTAATTATGGGTCACAACACTAAAGTACGTTTTAAAACATGTTTTCATTGTCTAGTGATCACATAAGTGTGTCAGCTGTTGTTAGCAAAGAAATTTAAGTTATGCATTTTCATTGTTTAACATATGCCTTGCCCAGTCTTAAATTTGGAGAGCAGAACTTACTTTCCAGAGATAAACTTCAAGATTTTTTTTACTCATTGTGAAGTAGCACCTTTTACTTGTTTTCTTTCAGATGATAGGCACAGTCTTAAATGATTTTAATGGTAATTAAGTATACTGATAGCTGCTTGCCATAATGGTGTAATGCAGGTGATACTGAGTGAGTACCAGATTCAATTCTCTTGGTATTGTTAACCAAAACTTGTTAACCAAACTTGTTATTGTTAACCAAATTGTTTATTAGGGGTACATTCTAAAGACCTTTATTGTAAATAGAAAGATTCTCAGCATCTTTAATGGCTGCTGAAAGTAACTTTGTTTGCCAGCAGGCTAAATCTAAGCAATCTTGCTGCCCTTACACAGGTATAACTGTGGCCATGATATGAAGTCTGTGAAATTAGACAGTAGATGCACAAAATAGAAAGAACTCAGAAATAAAACGTGTTGCAAAAGCTTTAACTAATAACTTCATGGATCTAATGATTAAAGAAAATGTAGCAGCTATTAATACTTACAACAGTATTTGTATTGAAAAAAATGTTTTCCAGGTTAAATTGTAATCACAGTATTTAAGGCATAGTATATGCCACTGAAAACAAAAAAAGTCTAAAAATAGTCCACTCTATTCTACAAAAGCTTGAACTGCTGATAATTATTCATTATAATAGTGTTTTATCCTTCTCAATCTACTTTAGTGTCAATTTTGCTTTGAAGATGTGAGTGCAACAGTCATTAGAGTTGGCAAGTATTCTGCAGAATGCAAAACAAGAGAAGCAATAGAGACTCTCTACAAGCAATTCATTAAGTTTATTGAGTCTACAGTGCCTCAGCAAGAAGAAAAAGTTCAGCAGATTATAGACCTGGCTAAACAGTTATATGGTGAGGAGCTGTCTGCAAATGTTGAAAAAATAAAAATAGAAACAGTAGCTTAGGACAGAAGGAAGAGGATTCCTGGATTTGTTATTTAAGAAGAAAAGGTGTTTTAAAGTATTGACTAGAAGAGGTGAAAGACTTCAAAACAAACACCTAAAATATAGAAATATGGAAGTACTAAATAGTCTGGTAGCTATTTGTGTTTCCATATACAGACTGAGTTCGCCCTGAAATTTAAATGTGGATGTCCATGTAATATTTTGGGGCTTGGAATCAAGGCTTCGTGGCTTATGGTAATCCATAATAGACCAACCCTTTGAAGTCAAAATATATGAGAGAGTTATACTTCAATGTTGGGTGAATTTTTACATGAATATTGTAAATAGCTAGTGGAATGTGATTGCCAACTTTATTAGCAAAAAAAAAAAAAAAGTGGATTTTTCTGTAAATATTGAATTTGCAATTGTATTGATTTGTAATGTTGACTTGATTGAAAAGAATGAAGGTCAGCCAGCTTCAGTTTCCTTTTTTTTTTTTTTTTTCCCCAGCTCAAAATCTTTTTACACTGTTGAAGTTAACTTTATCCAAAAATAAGGTATCCATCCAGATGTGAAAGGATGGATAGCTACACATTAGTGTAGCCTAGAAAGTCAAGTAGTAAATATAATATATTTTCAATGCTGTGTTTTTAAATTCCTCTATTTTTATGTCAAAAAGACTATTTAGAGAACTGATCACCTTTTCTCCTTCCTTCCCTCCTTCCTTCCCTCCCCTACTCTTACCTTCCCTCCTCTCATACTCTCTTCTCCATTCTATCTTTTGTTATAGCAGGGATCTAGGTGTCTTCTGGCTATATAATTGGTCTAATAGTTTAGGAGATGCTTTGAGGGCAGTGGGTTTTTTAAACAATGTCACTTATCAGACAGTAGTAAGATCAAGGAGAAGCCCAACAGAAGGCATGCGGATACTGTGAGGTCCAATCTCAAGTAATAGGTAGGAAAACACATTGTTCTGCATCATAGAACTCCAGCAAAAATAAGCACAGAGAAAAATAAAATTATTGCATTATATGGAGGATATAATGTATATTGACTGTTATACTTGTGTTTGAGGCATTTGGGGTTTTGTTTTTCATAAAAGAACTTTTATGTTATTTTGCCTTTTCAGGTTTTGAAGAAGGAAAGAAGTATGTTGAAAAAGCTGTATCAAAGTACAAAGAAATTCTTAATTCTGTTGATGAGTTGTGTAGATCTCTGAGAGAATTTAAGCAGATTCAGGTATTTTTCTTTTATGTGGAGAATATATTCCATCTGCATGAACATACCAGGTTTATTGTCATCTATTATGGGAGTGTGAGACATTTCTTGGTTCACTTTTCCATTACCTGAAGTAATGATTATAACTCAATGAAATAATACTTCTTTGGACACTAAATACTCATTGTGTGCCTTTTTTCATTTGTGGTTGTTGTTGTTTGTTCTGTTTTGTTTTGTTTCCTGGACTTCTTTCAGACCTGTTACTGCTTTCAAGTAACCTTTAGGGGAAAGTGTCACAATTTCTTTCTTTCAATACCTAGACAAATACTTTCTTCATATTTCTTTTCCCTTGGTACTGAAATACAGATAACTGCCAGATCTATAGAATGCAAAATGATGTATTTTATTACATAATAGGAAAAAGTATCATGTTAATATATTGCAAATACAAATCATGTTAAAACCAAAGTCATTTAAATTTAAAAAGCCTGACTTATAAAGACAACAACAAATGTATTAGTTTGTATTCTGCTATGCTTCTTTAAGCATATCTAGGTAAAATGTATCAGCTAAGCCAGAATTATGGAAGACAGTTGGAGGGATAGATTTCTGAAATAATGACTCAGTCTACTCCATCCCGCAGTCTCAAAGTAATGCGTCAAACCACATTCAGCAATAGATGTTGGGGTAACTGTGTGAAGTTAGAAGAGTTAGAGGCTTAAATATCCTTGTTTTGTTTATGTTGAATGCTGTTTCACTTTTATTTTGTGGAATTTTTCATTATTTCTTATAATATAAAAACCGATCAACATTCGAATTATCCTTTAATACACTTAAAAGCAGTAAGAGATGCCAAAAGTACAAATGAGTTTCAAAAATCATTAAATGAATGGAAAGAAACTTTGCCCTTCATTACTAGCATAAAGAAAAATGAATATAAATAACAATTAGCTTCTTTGAGGTTCTCCTTCTGGTTCACATATACATAATGGTACAAAATGGTATCTTGTGCAGAGCAGTAGCACCTGGTTCTGTCAGAACAGGGCTTCATCTTTTGATCTGTTTTGTTAGCTGAATACAATGTAATACTTCAATTGATTTTGATAAATGTAAAGTTATCCCTTTAACAGAGGTTTTTGGAGAACATTTTCTTTTTCCTCACACACAATCATTCATAAACTATTTACTGACTGCTTTAACCTTTCATTTATGTGATACTTGGAGATGAATAAAAAATACTTATTGAATATTATCAAAAGGGAATTTTCTGCAATAGAGAGTAGTTATGCAACTTATTTCAGATGAAAGATTTTTTTGTACTATGTAGAGTATTCTGAGATTCTAAAACTAATATTTTTTTATTGTTTTCCACTGCATCTCAATAATTGATGTCTGAATCTTATGAGAAATCATTCAGCAAATTATCCAGACAAATTGACACCATGAGTATGCAATGCCATGGTTAGTAATTCAATTTCCTGTCATTTTTAAACTAACAAATTGAAAGAAAAATGTCATATTGCCTATCCCTTATTATCCTTTCCTTATATCAGGTACAAATGGGTTCCTCAGATTCTTGGCTATGTACTTGAGTTCCTCAGTCTTTAGTGTCCTATGCTTTCCCTACCTTGAAAAAGATCCCCTCAGCTTTGAAAAATGCTTTTTTTTTTTTTTTTTTTTCTTATGCAGGAATGAATAAATCAGGTTTTGTGGCATATTTTTCCATAAGCCATATACAGCTGCCCTGATGAAAGGACAGGTCTATTTTTATTGTTTAACTACACCACTGTACAGAGCATGAGTACTAAGTACTTTCTTCTGTTGTGTATAACCTTAATTTTCTTTTCACATGGCAGAAAGATGAGTGTGTTGAAGAGTTGGTTACCGTGCAAAAAGAAGAAAGAAATAGCCAAGATGCATGTAAGACTGTTATAGATGAAGCAGAGGAAAAAAAGCAGCAGGTCAGTTCGATTTTTTTTTTTTAATTATTGTTGTATTTGTTTTTACCAGAACTATATTTCTTCAAAGATTTTGTGTATTACTGGAAACTTTACTACTTATCAGGCTTGAGCTTCCCTGAAATTGAATGCTGTCAGTGTACTCTTGGTATTTTAATTTCTATTTCAATTTTTTTTAGATGCCCCTTTGCCTTCCATCCAATGCATATATTCTTCCTTACTCACTTTATTATTTTTTTTAGCCTTTTTACTCATCTATGCATCTTCTCATCCTCCTCTAACAGAAGAAACAGTTTTATTTTTTTGAAAATCTTCTTTTCATACTCTTTTACCAGTTTTCCAATGTGGTACTATTGCCACAGTATTCATAACAAAGACATCTTATGTTTGACCATTCTCTTGAGGAAGGAGGAATGCACTCCCCTTAAGGGAAACTTAAGGGAGTATAGGAAGTAATAAAGGAGACTGTTGTTAGCATTTCTCAGAAACCTAACAGGCTTATAACCTCTATTAACAAGGTATGGAAGTATTTGAATTATAAGTAATATGCTATAATAGAAGACTCATAGCTTAGAACTTGAGCAAATAATGGTGGGAATTAAGATACTTTGAATCACTGAGGTCTTCATCAGAAAAAAAAAAAAATTAAACATTTTCATTTCAGACGGGATCAGATATATTGCTTACAACTTCAAAAAACATTACTGAGAAGAGAAACATGACTCCTACCAACACTAAGCAGGTATCTGCTTTTCATGTTGAGATTTATTTATTTTAAAATCATATTGATGGGCATTCTTGTGCATTCTCAAAGGAATTTTACTCCTCGTTTCATTGCTTGTCAGAAATAACACATTTTTACAGACATTAATGAGCTTAGATTCTCTTAATTACAGTATTAGAAATCCAATACAAAGCCAGAATTGCCTCACTTTTTCAGCAGTCTGAATAATAGAAAAGCAGTCATAGCAAAAACATGATGGGACAAAACTACAGCTGTCAGTAGTTCAGTATGATGACATCATACAATCTGCTGTATTCTTAGTATGACATTATACCTCAACTAAACAGCAGAAATCAACATCAAATAGTTTACTTCACTCTCACATCAAAACACTTTAGTTACATTTCAGTTGCCAAAATTCCATGCAACAGAGATCATAAGTTCTGAAGTATGAATTGCATGTTGAAGATCATGCAGAAAAACAAATTAGGTATGTATTAGAATGGTAAAAGTTCTAGAAGACAAATGTCTTATTTACAAATACATGGTAAATGAATGTGAAAGATTTCAGATTGTCAATGAATAAATGTAGTCTTAGGCTTTACAAAAATAAAAATAAAAAATATAATTGACTTTAATTCCTTTATCTTATAGAACATTTTGATGCCTTGGGGTCTTGGTCTGCAAAAGTAAATAATTCACTATGTGAAATCTTTCATGAGCATATGAATGGATGGTAGTGTATATATAAGTCTTTTCAAAGGTAGGATGCATTAGCAATTGATTTAGAGCCCTAAAATTTCTATTTTGCAAGCTGATAATGTAGACCAATATTACAAGACATTAAACTATGTATAATAGAGATTCAACTAACATTAGCATTCCCTTCAGTTCAATACAGAATACCCTCTGCTGATGAGACAAAACTGAGTTTAATTAACTTTGTCACCTCTGTTTCAAGCCAATGAGAGTTTCACCTTTGACTTGTAACCTAGATTTTACTCAGAATTTTGTGTCTGTTTCAAAAAAGCCACCCTCCGGAAAATCACCTCACCCAGCAGATGGCCATAGCTCTATTTCCTATTTTGCAAGGCCACAACCCTGTCAGTCCTTGTCAGACTGTGCATCAGCTGTCAATGGAAGAAGTGAAGGGTATGCAGAACAGCAAATATCAGATGTGAAGTATGGCAACTACGATACCTCCGATCTTTTCATCACTCCATACTTCACTTAAAGAAGTAGTAGCTTCTTCTTACTAGAGCTTTTCTGTCTTCCATTTTCATCCCTTCTGAGAAAAGACCTGGCCCACTCTCAGCCTCTCCTCCAGTGAGACAACAGTATATACTTTTGTCTGCACTTCTGCAAGCTATTTTTGCAGTATTATTTTGCTTCAGTAATAAGTAGCACCCTCTAGAAAGTGGGTGCTTCTCGTGCTTATTTAATTGCAGGTATCACACAAGGACTGAAAGACCTCATGCTGCCTGTCTGACAGTTGGCTCACTGCCCACCTGCAATTTTTTTCATCAGCACAAAAGCAGTTTCCCTAGGGTCATTTTGCAGCAGTGTTTCGAATAACTCTGCTCTATTCTGTAGTCCGCCCCCTAGGTGTGTTGACCATGAAACTGGCAGCACAGCCCTGCACTAGGATACTAGATTAGTTAGTGGAGGACTCCAACATTGTTTTGGCTTTCCCATAGTTGCCCAAACATATGCCAATGTGTGCACATATGCATATGCTCTTCAATAGGATGGATCTGGATCATTAACTTCATTCAGACAATAGAAACTGTCAATTCGGACATTTTGACCCATGCTTTTTACTTATACCTGCTCAGAATGTAATATTCTTGAGACTCCTAACTTAATATTTAATTAGGTTTGGTTTATTAAACTTGTTACTGCAATTCAAACTATAATAGCCTGATTTTTGCTGCCGAAGTGTCTATTAAAACTTAATTTAAGAAAGACTTGCAAATCTGGTCAGGCTTATGACTGACATGGTTACTTAGAACAATACTGGTAAGGATAAAAGAGCTGGGTGACAAATTTGCAAACCCAAGAAATTTTTATAAGCAAAATGAAATCTATTTCTAAAAATAACTACTTCCTAGGAATAGTTGACAATTATTTAGAAACCCGGTAAAAATTTTGAATACATACCAAGTGAAGAAGCAACTCAAGTGTTTATATTTTTTTCTTAGTAATTGGAAAGGTGAAAAAATGACATATTTCGCTAAACTGGAAAGAGAATTATTATGTTTATGTCCATGATGTATTCCTTTTCAGAGATATTTTGGGAGTTGGTGCTCATCAGAGCATGCATGTGGAAAGCATTTAATACACAAACTTGAGTTTCATCTTATAAGTGAAATGAATGTTTTAGATAAAATAGACACTGTAAAAAAAAAAAAAAACAACTTTCTTCAATTCATTCATTTGCATATTTGGCAAGGGTCACCTGGGTTTTAAATAATTATTTTATTAACTTAGAAAAAAATCTGTATTAATTTTACCATATCTACAGATATGGGTGCATACATACAGATCAAGTGTGCATGTAAGGTTCTGCTTCTTTTTTCTTTTACTGTGGTAATTAGTGCTCCAATGATTAGGTTCTATTATAAAGCAATAAAACAAAACAAAAGTCCAAAGAACTGTGCTGCTGCAGTTGTGTACTGGGTACTGCCAAAGAGGTCTGGTTTGGAGAGCAAAGACACCTGGTGTACCACACCATACCTTTGACTGAACAGTTTATAGGTGACAGAAATATTGCTTATTGGATTAAATATGTTTTTAAGAGAACAACAAGAGTACATAAGAAACATTGTGAACAACTTTGCTGTGAGCCATGACACAAACGAAGCCTGATAGGCCAGACTATGTGGTTACACACTAAACAAAACTCAAGAGGCAGGCAGTAATTAATCAAATGTCTTTGATGTTTTGCAATTGAAGTGAATGCACTCATGATAAATCCAATTACTTGTAAAATATGATGGGTTCAAGGAAATAAAAAAATAATTTTACAATTAATTTTGTGTTAATATCTGAACAAGGTCTTGTAACAACTGTCACAAAATAAGGAAAAGATAAAATGCTTGAAAAAAATGTCTTAAAGATTTAATTTTAAATTTTGAATATGACCAATGACTCAAATAACAGAAGTCCAGTTACTTAGCTGTTAATCTATTTTTGTTATGTAACCGTTTTCCATTGAGACGTCATTGTGCCATCTCCTTTCACACTCACACACTACAAATGCTCTTGTAAAAAGAGCAGGAAATCCACGTTGTCATTTGTTTACAGGAAGAGGTACTTTTATTGTTACTGCTGTATTAAGTTCTTCTACTATGTTTTCTGCTAGTCCATCCAAACAGAAATTCCAGTTAACTTCTGCAAACTTTTCTAATGACTATCCTTTCCTCGTGTTTCTTCCTGTTTCTCAGAATAATTAAGCTTAATTAGAGGAAATATTCCAAATATTGTTGATAGCTTCTACATGAAAAGGTGATGCTTAGTAACTCATTCTTTCTCTCTGTTTTTCTTCTTTCGCTTCTCTTCTGTCCACTCCTAATTTAAGGAGAGGAATAAATTGGCTGATATTCCAATTATCTGCCCAGCTGGTAAGGATCTTGTTTCACAGGATACAGAGCTGTTATCTTCGGCCAAAGAGAAGAGCTTACAGACTGAGTTCCTGGCAGAAGAAATACCCTCTGGAGATGAATATGAGTGTATATCACCTGATGATATCTCTTTGCCACTGCTTTCTGAGACACCAGAATCAAATGTCTTATTTTCTGAAACGGAGCTAGAAGAGCAGTGCTATTGTAGTTCGCACAATCTGCATGCCAGTTCCTATAGCTTGCAAATACAAAAAAAACACTATTGGTAAAAAGTTGATGGAAGCATCTGATCTCTTAACAAATTCTACTTATGCTGATGCTACAAAAATTAGAATGGAAATTCCATCTGATCAGTTTGAGAAGTTTTATATCTCTTCAGCAGATTCTGATCCAAAAGTCAGAGTAGAAGCTCCTTTAGCTTATAGTTTACAAGCAATATCTGAGGCTAGCACTGCTTCCTGCACAGTGAATGCCAAACCAGTATATAGCATGAGAAGTGTGCAAAACACATTTGCAACACCTTGAACTTCGTAAAAGCATGGCAGAAGCACAAGAACAATTGCATGACTTGAATAACTGTAATAAAACCCAGGACAGGCTGCATGCTTTGCCTGATGCATTCTCAGGTTTCATGTTTCAATCAGACGCCACCAGAAGCTGTCAGAGGCAGATGGTTACCCGAGAAGAGATTAAAAGTGCATCAGAAAAGAACAGCATGGCCAGCCTAACTGGACAGGCGCCTAACTTCTCCCAGCTTCTGTCTAATGTAACCGTCATGGAAGGTTCTCCAGTAACCTTGGAAGTAGAAGTAACAGGATTCCCAGAGCCTACACTGACATGGTGGGTAGCTTATAACAAGAAAAACTAAATATACCTATTAGTGAAGCACATTGAATCACTTATATCTATATTCATTAATCTATAGACTAGAATAAATGGCTTGTATCCTTACCACTCCACAGTTCTGCATGTTTCCCACTTTAAAAATTGTTTTGACAATTAACCTACTTGAAATAATCTCTCTGTACTTAATTATATGAATAATGAGAGTTTCAAACACATGCAAGCATATCCAACATTCTTAAGTAATTCATCTTCGTTGTTTCAGGAACTTGCCACAATATACAGACAGACACAAATATTTATAGTCACTGTGTATAGGTGTGCACAAATTTATACAGAAGTGAAAGAGTTGTCAAAACCAGGAGAGGTTACAGGTTAAAAAAACAAAACCCTAGTGTCTACGCTGTGAGTAACCATTTTATATGAAATACTTGCTCTCTCTGTTTCTCACTTTGAATTGCTACATGTCTAATTAGATTTCTTTATACTCTATTGTGAGAAATACAGATATTGTTATACAAACATTTTTTAATATGACTTTTTAAAAGTTCCATGCAAAGATAGACAGGGACTGAAAGAGGAGGCAGGATTGCAAGACTTCAGTGTTAGTCCTGTATTTGCTGGCCTATTTTTCATAAACTTTTACCTTGTTTGCCGTTCTGTCACTTATTCCATTAGACTTTCACAGTGGAGGCCTTCCTTTAATGAATTAAAGTAAGGTATGCCTCTTAATAATCTTAACTTGAAGACATTTCTAATAGTACACATGTAAAATATATATATTGCGTAGAGGGCAAAACAAGTAAACTATAAGCTCTTAGTAAGCAGAATTTTATTCTATAGCACTGAGAAAAATACTGGACTGTGCAGCCTTGGCAGTATACTCTCTTGGTATCAATAAATTTAATTTAAATCCAATTATTCTACACTTTGAGGAGTATTGCTGGTGAAACAAGGTACCTTCAATTTTGTTTTATCATAAGAAAGCATTAATTTAGCTCAAAAGTATGTATACCGATGACACATGGTCTTTTTAAGAATAACATTCAACTGAAAGCATTTTGCAAACAATAAAGTTATGAAAATAGAAAATTAATCTTTGTGAGAAAAAAATAAGTATGGTAACACCAATACCATGTATGTTGTACTGATGTACACACTGTTGGATATATAGTTGGAAAATCACGTTTGCATTTGAATTAGGTTAAAAGCAGCATATACTGAAACACTATCAGGCAAGAAGAGCCAGAAGTTTCTCTCACTTCCAATTCGTAAATCAGGAGTCAATACCAATACTTGGTGACTGATTCTCAAGTGATCACCAATTTTCTGAAATAAATCAGGTTATGTTGTTCTATCCTGTCTATTATGTGAACTAAGTAAACGTAAGTGGGCTCAGGTGGAGGAATAAGTCCCTGACTGTTCTTTATGTAGTTCTTTGTAAGACAGAAAGTTTGTATGTTGCTTGTGCATTTAAGATGCTATTTCCCCTGATTTGAATATGGATTGACTGAACACTTTATTGGCAACAATGTTTCAGCACAAAATTGAGGGGACAGGTCTTCGTGCTACTCTCCTTGATAACTGCAGTGCGATAACTGGGTGACTTGTCCATGGAAAAACATTTTCAGAGCCACATTTTCTAGTGTTAAGATTGTCTTTTCCAACAATTTGAGTAATTTAAATATGCATCTATATTCATATATAACTTGGAAAAATGAGGATTGAGAGCATGACAGTGAACTCTCTCTTGCTGCCAACTTTGTGTTGTAGAGGTTTTCTTAATTTGGAAGTTTCTGCTTGACATACATGATACAAATCTGACGTGAAAACTGACTCTCTGCTTCAGGTACAAGAAGGGCCAGAAAGTGACTGCAGATGAGCACTTAAAGCTTTTACAAAAGGAGAAAAAGCATACTTTACTCATTCAGAAGGTGTGTGATAAAGATGCTGGGCTCTATGTTGTTCGGGCTAAAAATTCTAGTGGCACCATATCATCAAGTGCCATTCTCCACGTGAAAGGTAACAGGCCACCTATTACAAGAATAGACTGGATAATGCTGTGTGTCATCTATATTAGCATATCACTAATGTACTGGCTGTTCACAAAAGTACAATATTGACTGCACTGTACTTAATTCTCACATGCTAAAGCAACATGAAATTTATTGTCCTACACTGAATCTTTCGCCATCTGTACCAAACTACTTTTGTGTCACACTTGATATATTGCTTGTTTCTCAATACCAGTATTATAGGATTGTTTTTCTTTCTCATAGTGATGTTGAGATAAAAATAAGTTACAAAGATTTTCTAAAATTTAAGACCCTGTTTTGTATTCTAAATATGTTGGCAATATGAAGTGTTGAAAACAGTTTTAATGGCTATTACATGTCAAAATACACCCAGATAGTGCACTCAGATCAACATACTTTCTATGATACAATTTTTGTTGGGGATGGAGGAGGGCATATAATTTTATTTTAAACATAAGATTTATTATTTCCAATGATGTTTTTCTCATTTACCTTTTATTTATTTATTTATTTATTTATTATTTATCTGTAAGGTAAAGCTTAGTATAAAATGGTAATATTCATGATTGTACTGCCATAGATCAGATTTAGATTTCAGTTTTATTCCAAAGAGTCATCTCCACAAATAAAAGCTGCAGTAGTTCCAACAGAGATGTGATAATCTGCACTACAGAGATTTGACCCAGAATTGTCAGGATTTGTGTAAGCAATGCTTAGCATAAAGTAGAACAAAACCTGCAGATGTTTACAAAATGAGACCTTCCAACATATCCATCTGCTTAGAGAGATGCTTGTGATCATTCTCTGCCTTCTTATAAAATTAAAATTATAAATATTTATGATAGTTTTCTATACTGTTAATATAGAGAAAAAGAAAATTAATAGTTTATGAAATTAGCTTTTATGCACATTTAAAAATTTTAATGCATTTATTTCAAACAATCACATTGTAGAAATACTCAAAAGTACACTCACACCAAAAAATAAAGTAATTTAAAAAATCAGTCAAATAGAATTCTTCTGTAACTTGAAAGTAGTTAATCCAGAACAGAAATTTATCAACATATTGCATTTCATTCTTGACTAGGACAGCCGTAGATCTTATTTATTAAGTACTTTGCTTAAATATTTGATAAAAGCAACATAACTGCTAGTGGAAAAATTAATTCATAAATCCTTAAATGTCATTTGAATCCTTCTTTACTCCTAGTATTTGTTTAAGTATGATAAAACCAATTGAGAGAAAGACACATGATTTTTCCTGCATCTTTGATTTTCGTCTTTCATATTATGATTATGGTGGTGTGGAAAATTTAGAGGAAATATTTACTTTCTCTTCCACATATTGCTGAAAGAAAATAAGCCTTCTACTGTGAAGCATGCTGTGAGCAGAATACATATTGCAAATTGCAGGGCGTCAATGAAATTGAACACTGACATTTAGATATGTGAGTGTAACTTTATTAAAATTCCTGTACCCTTGAAGCAGGAGAAGTTCTTAAGGGAGTACAACCGCACAATTATAAGAGGGAGCTGGAGGAAGAGGAGAGGAGGTAGTGAGCAAATGATAAAACAAAATATTTAACTAAACCCTGAACGAGCAATTTTCTGAGTTCAGTCATCTCCTGAAAAGGTCGGTCCATTCTCCCAGCTATAAAAATCACCTCTTCTGTAAAAGTTTGTTACATTAAGTAGTATTATGGTAAGAACAAACTCCACATGACTCTCCTACACACTATAAAGCTTTGTCTGCTACACAGCTGCCAGTATAACTGTATCCTGTTTATAACACTTATTTTGTGTTTGGAAAAAAAAAAAAAAATCTTAGGTAATGGCTGCCTTCGGTGCTCTGTTTTTACTGAGAATTGTGACTCTTCCTGAAGCCCATCATTCAAAAATTAAAAGTACTCATGGATGTTTTGATTTGCTTTCTAGTTAACTTTATAGGACACTCAGATCACTTTCCCAGGCATTTTTGCCTTCAATCTTGAGGCTAAGTTTATGTACCAAGGAAGGAAAAAAAAAAAAGGGGGGGGGGGGGGGGGGAGCAAAAAAACAGGAGAGAAAGCAAAGATGTTCTCTTCTGCCTTGCCACTTCCTGAATCAGGCCTTTAAATTAATCATTAACTGTCCTAAAGCTAGTACCAGAGTCAGTTCTGTAGAGGCTGCACTCAAAGCTGCATCATTTAACGTGTGGATGCTTCATCTTGAAAACCACAGAAAGTTCAATGCTAGAATAATCATTGTTCTGTCATCTTTATATGGTGAGTGGGTGAGTTCAGCACAAAGTTGACCTTTTGGTTGGAGGAAAGCCACTTGTGGATCAAAACAGCAATGCAGGGTGAGCTTCTGTCCTTCAGGAGTCAAGGATTCTAATTCTGTTCAGAAAATCTTGTCACAACCCCACTTGTAGTTCTATCAAAATGAAAAACTTGAACATTTCATCTTGTAATGGAGCAGAAACCAGAGGTAGCTTGGATATAGACTGGTAGTCAGATCCAGTTGCTTGATAGCACTTCAAGAAAGACTATTTACTATTTACAATAATCAGCCCTATGAGTTGAAAAGGCAACAGAAAACTCCTAGAGGGGTGTTCTTTCTCATTCCTCATGTACATCCAGACTGAGGAATTACAAGGGAGCTGCTATGTAGACCTTATCTCTCATACACATTTACATTAAATCTGTATCTGCTCTTGTTCTTAATGTTACTTAAAAGGCTTTAGAACAAGCAGAAGAGATCTCAGTTACTTGGTTCATGTGAGATTTGACAGACAATATCTGAAGCTAGTTTGCAAAATTGGGTGAGAGTAAGCTTTGAACCCAAGTGGGATTTATTCAGTCTTTTCACTATTATTATTATTAGAAACTAACCAGTAATGTTATCTGCTGTTGGAGTTTGGGTTACACACACACTCTCAAGCATAGCAAGGAAGACTGTAATCTTTGCTCTAAGAGAAGAAGAGATTAAAAGATGCTTCAGAGCAGGAGAGTAGATTTTGTTCAAACTGTTGAAAATCTATGTTCTATATGCTTATGAAGTATATTCTACCCTTTACAGTAAAACTCTGCATATGTATCATGCTTCATATTTCTAGTCTTGTATGCTTAACTTTTTGTACCCCTTTGCAGAAATACAATTAAAATCTGATTTTGTTCTTCTGAGTTATAGTTTAAATAATTCATGAAATGAGGATTGTTGCTAAAGATTGTATTTTCCTTATTTATTTTTATCTTTTTATAATAATATTTTGAAAGTCTTATTGGTAGTTCATATACTGAACAAGATATGGAAAAGTAGTTTATCTTAATGGACTTTTTTAAGGCATTGCTGTTTGAGTCTTGATTTAGGATGATAGTCCGGAAGACGTTGTAGAAGAGGAAGCTGCATTGATGAAATGTTCCTGTAGATGATCACTGCTACAATATGGTGTTGAAACACCATCCATGCTCAATTTTGTTGGCTAGAGAAGGACATTCTTAATCTACTTCTGTCTAAGAAGTCACTAAAGAAAAGCTGCCCTCTGACTGCAAAACTACCAAGGAAGAATGGTAGTGAAAGTCCACGCTTGGTGAGGTTAACACTCCTTTTCCAACTTGAACCATAAATGCCAGTTCTAACTGAAAAAATCCATACCTCAGATTTCAACAGATCCTCATCAAAGGAAAAAAACAAAAAGTCAATGTCTTGTCTCCAGCTACATCGAGCAAAGCCAAAACAAAAATTATTCCCATGGGGATCACTAGAATGCTGATATAACAGTCTTTGAACACTGAGTAAAATTATATGCATCCAAAGATTATATGGAAGACCCCAGTAGATTACCTGTCACCCAGGGAAGCCAGCTGCCTTTCTAAAGAAAGTAAGCATTAGTTTTACTGTTCAGTTCAAAAGCAGATGAAGTGGCTTATAATCTGTGCTCTTGCCAGCACATCCACTCTCATTTTTACTCAAACATGTTTTTTGTGAAAGAATAAGTTTTCTACCATTGGATTAAGTCCAAGAATTAAGCTTCTATTTAAATATTAAATGACATCTTTCAAGTTGTGAAAAGAGATTGAGATGCAAAGGAATCTAACTTTCAATATCTAAGTATACAATTGTATTTAAGGGTGCACAAAAGTATTACATTCATGCTGTTACTATGTTGACACACTGAAATAGTAAACATAGACCAACTCTGTACAAGTACCTTAAAGGAGGCTGTAGCGAGGTGGGGGTGCCTGGTGACAGGACGTGCCTGGTGACTGGTGACAGGACGAGGGGGAACGGACAAAGTTGCATCAGGGGAGTTTTAGGTTGGATGTTAGGAAGAACTTCTTTACCGAAAGGGTTGTTAGGCATTGGAATGGGCTGCCCAGGGAAGTGGTTGAGTCACCATCCCTGGAGGTCTGAAAAAGATGTTTAGATGTAGAGCTTAGTGATATGGTTTAGTGGAGGACTTGTTAGTGTTAGGTCAGAGGTTGGACTCGATGGTCTTGAGGTCTCTTCCAACCTAGAAATTCTGTGATTCTGTAAATCAGTGCAGAAGTTTTTAATCTCATTTTTCATTAAAACATTCCTCAGAGAATTTGGAAATTTCTGTGAATTTTAGATTAACTAAACTTGGTTTTCACTTGTCTCAGAGTGAGTACCGTATTGCATTGAACTTTAATCAGAAATATTTTTAATAGTTATGTGGATATCAGACACATTTTTAATAGCTGCAAGAATTAAATTTAAAAAGGAAGAGGTTAGAGATACTGACTACACAGCGAGATACTTGAAAGCGTCCTGGTTTTTAATGCTTCACTTTCTAAACAACAGTGTAGTCAATACTGAGTACTGCTTTGTTGGTAGTCTGGTTTAAATACTCTTGTTTTGATGACTCCGATGAGTTCCACAAAAAAATTGCTGGAAAATTCCTGCCAGGCTTCCTTCCCCCTCCTCTCTCCCCACCCCTATTTTTTTTCTCTTTGTAGTTCGTGTTGTGTATACCTTGCTTCCTTCTTTTAACTATTCTGTACAAGCAGAGTAGTACACATGGGTGTTTTGAATTCCATTTTTTCTGCATTCTTGTTTTACCATACTGAGCTCCCACGGCCACAGTTTTGAACCTACAATTAATGTAAGATCCAAGAATATTTATATCTTACTGACCGCTCTTTTAAGGAGCAGTTTTAGATATCTCTTCAGACTCACAACAAAAATATTCTGCTTAGGTACTTTACTAACCTAACTTCTCTTCCTCCTTCCCCGTATACAGGCACCCGTTTAAAAAGAAAGTGGTGAACGAGATTGCATGACTAGAAGAAGTGGAATTATGTGAAAGGGTGCTTACACAAGGTGTACAAATTTGGAGGGGAAAGGGGAAATTCTTTTTATTTTTCAAAAGAAGCAGCTGATTGTGGGTCTAGGTGTGAGTCAATAAGCAAAGGGAGGCTGAGGCATTCCTCTGGTTGGCTTTGGATCAAACGTGGATGGAGCTGCAGTGGAGAAGGTGGCTTCCTCTCAAATGACTGGTAAGGTATGCCTATTTCTGCTCCTTTTTCTGGAGACTTTGGTAGACTAAGGTAGTATTATTTTGTGTGTGCGGGGGAGTCTTTAAAAATTACAGCTCAGTTTCCTTTTTTGAGGCATGTTATTCAATGAGACTTGAGCTCTGGATATGGTTATTTCTGATCAGCTGGGATCATTGGCCCACTTGATTTTTCTTAATAAAATTCCTTCTGAGTGTGTTAGTAGCTTGACTAAAACAAAAATCGCCAAACAATAAAATACAGTTTCAAGTAAGAGTAATGCTGAGAGTAATCCAAATTCTCTGAGCAGCATGGTATGAATCTCAGTCTAGTCTAAATTTTTGTAGACAATACAGTTAGACGTTGGTAAAATTTCCTAACATCGCATTTCAAGACATTCAGAGGTTTGAAAATTACATGCGCAGAGTAAACAGATTAAGAATAACCATGAATCATAGTAATAAAAACTGGCTGCTGAAAACAATTTGGCTTGATCTGGTACCACCTGTGTTTGAGCATCAGTGGGGGTGGTAAAAAACACGTGATGAAGTCAAACCCAGGTTTCTCCCCACCTGCAGTTTTTGCAGACCTCTGAGTTTTCCTTTTCATGCTTGCCAGTTCCCCAGTTTACAGCAGAATTGTACTGTTTCCAACATATATATAACATTTAATATTATGAATTGAATAGGCAAATTTCTTGGATGAAGTTGACAGAGTGGGTTTTCAGTAGCCCTGACAACCTGAAATTTGGTTTCTTCCATAAGGCAGGGAAAAAAATCTGTTCCTGCTAAACTTTGTGGTTCATACGATGTCTATCCTAGGAATCATTTTTAATTGGCAAGTTGTTTTAGCTTATTCTAGCATTTCATTATGTTATCATGGGCAAATCATTGGTGAAATATAATCATATATTTCCTTTTGAAGGTTGCTGTCAGAGGAAGATCTCTCCTTTTTACATCAGAATGTTCCTTTGTTGGGTACTGTAGCATGTTCCTCAAAGAGTTACTGCCACTTCATGTTGTGTTTTTTTTTTTTTTGTTGTTGTTGGTTTTTTTTTTCTTCCACATACTTTTCACTTTGCTGTCTAGAAACTGGTCATCTTAGTTTCCGTGTTCTGCTGATTTAATGATCCAAAATCAAGATGTGATCTGATTGATCATTGTCACAGTTCCATTCAAATCTTTTATTCTTTGGTTGCTTGGTTGTTTCTCCTGTTGAAGTGAAGCTGCAAGTGAAGCTGCAGATTCCAAATCTCTGCAATGTAACAATGGTGGCAGCTTGTGTATGCTAGCTTTCAACAGCTGAGAGCTCAGCTGTTGATCTACTGAGCTATCTTAGGTTAGCAAGAGTATGAGAGTAAAAGTCACATACTTCTGCTTTGTGTTGTGGCCTCAGACCTACAGGATGGGAAGAATGTTATGCAGCTAAGACTTTATTGAAAGCTTCTTTTGAGTAATAGCTTACCTAAGCAAAGAATGTATTAATACAGGAGGTGAAAATGTCTGCCTCACCATGTTGACAGTCCCACGTTAGGCAAATACATCCAAAGGAGAGTGGCTAGTAATCCATATATTATGGATTTAAATGTTGCTGGCAACGTTTGTGACATATGCTGGTTTTTGTTTCACAATAACATAAAGCAAAAGTATTTATTGTAATACAATGGGGTGATGCTGGCATAGTTCGTAGTACATTTCAGTAACCTTCAATTTCTGAAAAGACTGATTAGTTTTGCTCAATATTACAGAGATATATTATAGTTTATCATAAAGAGGAATAAGAAATAGGGAAGCAAAATGTTTATATTTGTTACAGTATTTATCTTTCTGTGTATTCTGTGTGTTAGCATCAGAGCTGCTCTGAATTCCCTGTGTCATAAATACTTATTCTGAATTCTGAAGTCTTATTCTTCTTTTAATGTGGCCATGGAGGTAGAATTTAAGTGGAACTTTGGGTAGAAGTATGATGCTTCAGTACATCCAGCTTTACAGCTCATTAAAGTTATTGTCACATAAAGCAAAGCTCTGATTCAGTACAAACTGACTCAGATGACTGAAATTTCTTCAAATATTTCTGATGAGTTAATTTGTATTGGCCAGACTTTGTGCTCTGGTATTGGCTCAGGTATCATCTGTCCTCCTACAGTTGGCACGAAACCAATACAAACTCTACCTCATGTGCTCTGGTTATTGCAAAATAAATGCAATTATGTGTCCATGCTTCATCTAAATCAAATATGTACTGCATAATCTCATAGTGTGTGGCCTCAGTGTTAATGATGGCCAAAATATTGGTCTTGATGATAGTAGTACAGAGGCCGTGTTCTGGCTGTAATCATTGCTGTAAATATAGAACAATATATTTTTTTTTCAACAACATTTTAGACTGGAACATTGGAATAAAAAGAAGTAAAGTGTGATGTATGACAGTACACTAAATGCAAGTTAGCTGTCTTAACTTTTTTCCTTTAAACTTGTGTGAGATATTTATTTACTCTTCACTGAAACACAGTAATCCACATATATTTACCTATTACTACACAAAGAATGTGATTCGCTATCATTACGTGAATCTAATATCACTCCTGATGCATGAAATTCTTGGATGCTTTATATCTACGTGTTTCAGCAAACTTTATATTATGTAGATAAATGATGTCTGCCTACTCCTGTCTTGCAAACAAGTTATCCTGAGTTCCAGGTATCAGTGAAGGCTCTCTTTGTCATGGAATGTGGTAACGTTCTAACTATGAGAATGGATTTTTGCTTCAGTTGCTTTAGTTGTGCCATCTAAAGTAGAGTGAATAATTTTTTTTTTTTTTTTTTTCAGTACAGGGAAAACAGCCAAGCTTCATACAAAAATTTGGACATACAACTTTACAGGAAGGAGAAGATTTAATCCTACATTGCACTATACATGGAAAGCCCAAACCCCATGTCTGCTGGACTAAGGATGATATCCAAGTGGTAGCTGGAGATATCAGTGTATGTTCTAAAGTTCTTAAAATATTTCTTGGAGAGAGATAATACATTTTGCTTTATGCTCCTTATAATTTCCTATGTGTGTTCTATTGTTTTACAGGTTGAGAAATTAGGAGATACCTATTACCTCTTAAAAAGAAATGTAGTCCTTGCTGATACTGGGAAATATATCTGTGTTGCCAGCAATGAAGTTGGAAAGGCACACTGTTCTGCTGTTGTAACAGTGATAGGTGACTCACCCTGGCCAGCTGCATGCTTTAAGGCACATTGCCATATTACTTGAGAACCTAATTTCCACTTACTGATGTACATGTCTTGTTTCAGAGAAAAATAAAACCCCAGAAATTTCCACTGTAACTCAGACTAAATCAGAATGGAAAGATGGATATTTTTCAGAAAAAGTGCATGTCACCACAGGTGAACTACTACAAACCCAGGACACATTTTATGTGAGAGATCAAAGGCCAGTCACTAAACATCTCCCATTAAGGTAATTTGCAGCTTACTCTGTGCTACATCTTGTAATACTCAAATAGCTCTAAAAACTAATTTATGAAGCACCCATCAAACACTCTTTCTGTTCCTATGAATTTTTGCATAATGTAAACGAAGCACATACTGTGACCGCCTTTTGCATTTAATCCTGCATTAAAAGGTATTAAATTTTATTAGTTTAAAGACCTTGTAATACAATAGAAAAGTGAATTTATGTGGAACAAGATATTTAGTTTGGTGATTTATTTTTTATATCTAGCTATATTAATCTACGTATTAACCTACAACTGAAAAACTCAAAGGTAAAAAGTATTCCAGAAATTAAGGTTGATATGACTTAAGTATTTGTCCTTTGTTGTGCAGATGGGCTTTTGACATGGCATTAGAGTATACCAATTTTTAGCCCATTAGCATTTCCTTTTTAAAGGAGAAAGTAGTTGCTAAATCTAACTTTTGTATTTAACATTTGCAGAACACCATTGGATATCTTGCAAAAGCCTTGAATCGTTTTCTTTGCAAGAGCATGTTGCCCAAGTAGAGCAGTTCACATTTTCTATATGTGCATACATATATGCATAGACACTAATTCTCTTGTTTTACTGCAGTATATTCATTATTATTGTTGTTTATTAAAATGCTAAAAGCAACATGCACAAAAACCTCTAGTAGCAATTATTTCTTATTATATGAAAGATCATCCAAATATTAACCAACTATTGAATCTGTAAGTAATTGTAATACACAGGTAACATTTGACTGTACTGAAGGAGTATTTGTCTGCAAAATAATCCCATGATATGTGGTCTACATTTAAAAATTGTGATGTATTAATTAATAAAATAGTTGCAGCCTCCAGGACAAAGTTGATATAGGAGCTCCTTGTCTGCTGTGCCATGCAGAAATTTGTAATATTTTGGACCTTTAATAAGCAAAAGGAAAATGATCCTTATGAGAGTAGACCTCATTTTAATGTCATACATCTAGAACATGAAGTCTCAATAAACGAATATGCAAGCAAAGTTTTCTACTAGGTAAGCATCTTTGTAGAAGTATTAGTAACAATCCTACTAGCACAGGAGCAATCATTACTTGTTAACTGATTTAAGATGCCAAAGCCTTCCATTATGCACCTTGAAGAGATTAAGTGAGGTATTTAAAGTCAATAGTCTTTGTGTTGACTTCCTGCACAAGGTTATATCTTGCCTTCTGAATTTAGGCTCTGATAGCCAACTGTAGCTTATAATGCTAGAACTTCATGTGCTTTGTTGTAACGTGTTCAGGGGTGAGTTTTTATATCTTGGGACTGTTACTAATCTGGTTTACTCCATTGTCAGTTCATTGTTTCATTGCAAGCATCAGGTAAGATGACATAAGATTGGGACTTGAGTGTTGGGAAAAGATTTATATTCACAGTTTTGCTGTCAGAGGTTTTCAACAGAAAATAACTGAACAATTCTACTAATAATGTATATTACATGACTGAAACTAGTAAGAGTTTCACTGTTTTACAGTGAAAAGATGTTTTCACTAGGTATGGTAAAATAGCTTTCTTTCTTGAAGTTATTTGGAGCAATATAATGGAAAAGAGGCCCGGTGGGTCTCAAGAAGTAATGGTTAACATAACTTTGAAAAGTGGTTGACAACCTGTGGGACTGCTGTCAGGCTTCTCCTTCATGGTCTTCTCAAAATATTAATTTTACACTGGTCATGTAAAAATGCATTTGCTTCCTGAAAATATCTAAATATATATATTTCTTTTCATACATAGTGAGTATTATGCCAAAAGGTCATAGAAAAGAGCAACATTTTTTTTTTCTTTCATCAGTTCTTGAGGCTTGCCTTATCTAGTTGTAGAGCACCATGCAAATGGAAAGTTATTCTATATGCTGATTGAAAAAGCTGTTCACATTTCATCAGAAGCTGCCTGCATGCTTTCTCTCATGGACGGCAGATCAAGCACTGGTCCCTTGTGTTTTGATCTGTGTTTTCTATATCACTGTATCACGGTGAGGTGACGGGTATTCCAAAGCAATGAAATCAAATGCAAGATCGTGTTAATTTTATGTGGTGCTAATATAGAATTCAATATGATTAAAACATGTAGATCATGCAGAAAGATTGAAATTCTTCTTTAAAAGATAATAATAATAATAATCTCTTATGTTTGTTATACCTAAAGTACTCTCTGATTATTTATCGTCAGTAAGATAGTGTTAGGATAACTTATGTTCTGTCTTGTCACTCTGCTTTTGCTCTTTGATCTCTTAGTGCCTTAAGACCAACAACTTATGTTACCTACTATGGTGCTGATTATGAAAGGAAATGATGCAACAGCCACCATTTTAAAATATAGGCAATATTAACTGACTTTTTTTTTTTTTTTAATAGGTTTAAAGAGAAACTCTGGCTTCAAGGAGTGTATGTTGAACTTGTGAGGCCAACAGAGGTTAGCTTCAGTTTGGAACATGATCCTGTTCTTCTGCGTGCTTCAGAGGATCAGATGGACTGAACTACAAAATACCTGATTCATGAGAGCGTTCGTTTTGTTTGCTGTGTCCATTATTGGGTGTTGACCATGTGTGAGGAGAAAATGAGTCTTTGAGTGCTATTTGGTTTATATGTAGGTTACAATTTGTATTTTGGTTTCTCTGTAACTCATCATTAATAAAAATCCATCTGTGCACAGCATTTATTAGACTGGGATTTCTATTTCTTTTGTTTTTCTTTGTGGTTTGTTAGACAAATCTAATAGAAAAAAATGATGGGAAAAGGGAAACATTATAAACAATGCGTACCTCCTTGCTGATTCAGCAGTACCAACTGTTTTGTACTAATTCAGTCAATGACAATCAATTCCATCAACAGTTCTTCCTACTACCTTATATAGAGAATTCAGATGTAAACTCAGCTTGCAGAATGAGGAATTATGAGTTTATACTGTTTAAAGTAAAAAGCTCATAAACTGTATTACAGTTTATAATGTACTACTTTACTGTTTATATCTATTCCTGTATATTAAATACTGTGTTACCGTATTTCTAACAGTATTGAGACATTTCCAGAAGGGGCTGGGCTTCTAAAGAACTGGTAGCTAATTATTGCAAACGTTGTCTAATGCCTACTTAGTACCAATAATGTCCTCAGGGAACAAGGAATCTCTTTAAGGCAGCATAACGGAGAATTACATAGCTTCTGTTTTCAGGATTGGATTGCTGTGACAAAGCAGTCCATTTCCAGTTGATGTATGTCATTGTGATCCAAAGGAGTGCATTTATGAAGCAATACCCTAGCTAGTTTGTAAGCTCATCCTTAGTTTAGCCAAGGGGATTCTTCCCCAGTGGTAAAATTGCTAAAGACATGCAGCATCCATTCAGGATACAGACAAAACCTGAACTGAAAAGTCATTTGGATAGTAGGGCAATCATTGGCAAGATGAAATTTTTGTTTTCATCTCTTGAATTCAGAGACTAGGTGTCTTTTTGAGTTGGAAAGCTCCCTGCAGAGAAAGAGGAGGACATTTGGAGTGTCATCCACTTGCAGCATTAAAACAATTGGCTGAGGAAAAGACCTGTTTTGGCTGGCTGTTTGACTGGCACAGAACATCTAGTTAGACTTGGGGCTATCTGTTCTTCACCTTGGTCCTTCTGATTCACATTTTCAAAGTCATAGTTAGCAAATGATTCCTGTTACTCATTTATCTATTTAGTGTACTGCATGTGGCTTGTATAATACAACAGATGCATGTGTTTTTTCTCCAACTGCCTATTGTGCAACAATTTGTCATTCTTTTTATAAACATTGATTAGTCCTACACTGGATTTATATATGACAACAATGCACTCACACTTCCCAGAGGGAGCATACAAGAGTTTAAGAAGCACAACATCTTTGTGCTACATCCAAGTAGATGTCATCTGTGCAAAATAAAGAATAAAATATTTTGACAGTTGCTTCAATCATAATGCCAAAACATTAAACATGTTTCCAACAGTGTGCAAGTTGGCTGGTAGTAACCTAGATTTCTCTCCAAATAAAAGCACAGGCCTAGAGAGGAAATGAGCTGAAAAAATATCATGTACATGTCTTCACCTGATCACATAAATCACTTGTTTGAAATTATAGAAAAGTCAATGGCATTCTGCCCATGAAAGAGTCACAAGGCTGTGTATGTGTGCATGTAAATATAGTAACTAAGGACTGATGTTCTTGCTCTTTTTAATTACACTGTATCTTTCACCAAAAGGAGTTTTTTCCAAGATGGAATGGAGACAAATATTAAACAACCAGTGGATCCCATACAACTATGTTTCTGCTAACCGTTTCTTCCTCTGCATATGTTGTTTAAAGATTTCAAAGGATATATTGTTTCTAACTGTAATAGCATGCAGAGGACTGAGAATATGTATCAGATATCTCAAAAAAATGAAATCAACTCACCCTATAATAAATGTCCTTTTATCAGTGGAACTTTTAAGTATGGCTTATAAGATTTCCTGTTTAAAAAGCCATTCTGTAAAAATGAAAGTAGAATTCAGTGCCTTCTGATCTTAATATCTCAGCAAAGTTGCCTAATGTGTTGGGTGGTTCTTGCTTTCCTTCTTGATTGTCAGCCTGTAGAAATAAATTGAACTTTGTTATATGTGAGATGGGCTTTTTTTCCCTGATGCATATAGCATGACTTAATAAATACATAATTTTCTTAAAACTTTTCTAAATAATACACAAGGCAGAACAGAAATCTGTGCATCTGTTCTGTCATATGGTTTTCTTACAAAACAGTAGAAACCTTTGTTTACAAACAGATAAAGAAAAGAACTGCCAACATTTTGTCAATGAGTAGCACAGATATTGCTCCAAATGATCCCATGGAATTTATCAGTTATGAAACACGTTAATTTTGTCTTTGTTTCTTGGTTTGTTTGCTTTTTTGCTTATCTTTTTATAAATTGTTGATGCCCAAGCTGCTGATAAAAGGTATGAAAAACTTGATGGGGCACATGCATCTATTAAATTCTAAGGAGTGTCTCTGTGCAAGTTAATATTTGTCCCCACTATTAAGATTTTAATTGTTATTTTGTGAAAAGAAATAGAATAGTTAGACATCAGTAAATATATTCTTGGTGTCTCAGGCATTGTTGGTAGGACGTTTTCTCAGGTGAAGAGCTAAGTATTTTTTTATATGCCTTCCTTGCATATATGCCTTACATATGTAAACATGTGTATGAAATTGAAAAAAAAAAAAGGGAAAACTTGGTAAGTATGAGCTCTAAAGTGATGTCTGTAAATCTTGTTCTTAGATATTTCCAAGGATATGATAAGTGACAACTATCAACATGAAGTTATTGTATATGGATCCTGATAACTATTCCACACCCTTTCAAATCTAGTCACAGTTCTCAGTAAGTTGTTCACGCATTAAATAAATAGAGTAGTTTGAAAAGTTGCTTAGTGCCTTAGTTATCTTTTCTATGGTGGGAGCAACTGACAGTACCTTTTTCACTAGTAAGTAAAGCTATTTTCTTCAAGCAAAATTAGTTCATGTTGAAAAGGATTAATAGATCTTGCATAAACATGTAAAATATCTCGGATAAGAGATGTTAGCATTTGAAAATGTAGCAGCTTTTGAGAAGCCAGCTGCAGTACACAAACATGGTTCTTAATATTATGCAGTTTATAGTGTGTATTTAAGGTTCCCTACGTTTCATTACAAAGCACTGGGTAAAGGGGGTTGATGAGGGTAGTGGAATTTTTGTGAGTTGATTTCAGGTAAGAATTTAATGGTTTAATGGTTATGAATTTTTTAGTCATTTCTAAGATTAAAGAAGGAAGGACTGTGAGGGGGAGGAACTGAAACCAATAGTTTTTTCAGAAGTAGGCTTTAGAAAATGGGAAATTCAGCAAGGATATAAGATATAACTACATTTCTAGTTGTGTTTTACCAGTCCTGTAAGGATTTAGGACAGCTTCTTATAGGTGAGAAATTTTATTTAAAATAACCAAATGATTTTTTTCATGGCACATTTGGTTTTGTATATTCAGTTTGGAGGCAGAATGACATGAAAATAGTATACAGAAGGAGGTATAAAACGCATCGTGTAGGAAAGGACAAAAATTATGAAAGAACCAAGGGAAAACAGAAGTAGAGAAGGAAATGAGAGAGATACTGGTTCTTTCCATGCAGTTTGCAAATTAACCTGTAGACAAATGAACAGAACCCTAGGAAAGAAAGCAGGGTTTATGTCATATTGGCTTTGCAGCTACAGCACATAGCAAACCACTGCTGATTAAGAAATTATGAAGAAAAGTTTGTGGTTTTTTTTTTTTGTTGTTGTTGTTGTTTTAAAGCAAATTATGAATTTTCATTTCATTAAAACTGAAGTACATTGAAAACTTGCCCAAGCAGCTGTTTGAAGCTTTCAATATTTTAGAAAGAAAGATTTTGTTTCTAAGTGCTATTATTATTATTTCTAGTACTGAGCTTTCAAGCTATCTTCATGTGGGCCTACTCAAGTAATTGTTTCTTTTGAGTAGCTACGCTCATCAAGTCAATGGCATTGTTAGAGCTGAACAAGGTGAATCACATACAAAGTGGTTGTTGGTATCGATGCCACAATGTTTCATTATTATGTTACATTACCTGCTATTTCTCAAGTGTATTGCTGGCTTACAGTATAATATATATCCTGTAGTAACATTGACAATAGATAGTTTCTACTTAAAGTAATAGCAGCTTGAAGCAAATGCTGAAACTTGAATAATAATCCCCAGTTTTTCTGTCTGCCTGAAAAAAAATATCTTTGTTGTTATCTTGATCTATTTTTTCCTTGATCCTGAAGCAAAGAAATAATGTCATGTTTTTGCTAGCAATGTCTTTGCTACACAGTGTGAACACTGAACTTGTCCTTCTCCTTTGTATTGTAGATACACTATGTGACACTAAGCATGCAGAAATCACACTGGGCTGACCGTCTGTTAAAGCATGGGATGTAAATTATTCCTATTTCCTTAAGAGCATGAAAGAAATATTTCACTGATTTCATTTCTGAATCCACCAGCAAAAGAAAAAGTTGAGGAAGTACAAACTTTTATTCAGATGCAGGTAGATATAGTAGTGATCAAAGGCAATGTAAACCTTCTGGGAAAAAAAAAGGGGGTGGGGGGGGAGGACTTGTATTAAAAATCTAGAATATTCTGTTTATATATTTGAATACAGCAGAATGTTTTTTCTTGTAAATTTCTATTTTTAGCAATTGTTGAATTGTTGCTGACTTGACTGAAATTGCAAAAATTGAACTTCTGGCTATCTCATCTTCAAAAGTGACAGTTTTCACGTTTCTCTCATTTAGAAATTATCACAATTTCATAAAAGTTTTCATTGTTTATTTGACTTAGACATCATCAATAAGCTGCCTTTTTTCTTTTTTTAATTGCTAAATTTGCAGATTTTAGACAGTGCGTTTTCTCCAAGTTGATTTTTTCACTGAATATTTGAGTGTTCAAGTACAGAAAAAATTGCCATTTGCTATTTTAGCAAGTCTCTATTTAGAATCAGACCTTTACACAGATTTCTTCAGACATTCTGTATCCTTTAGTAGAAGATAAGTTTTCCTCTCTGCTAATAAGGTGCATTTGTTACCGTGCTAAGTCTTATGCAGAAAAATTAGGTTCTCTGACATCTACTTGCACCA